GCAGTTCGGATACATATTCCTTGCTCCATCTGCTCCAGAAGTGCTGGCGTAGTTGCTCTATTCTATGAAATCGAGACAGATGGTTCATAGAATGATCCCGGTAGTCAGGCTGCGGTAAAGAAGTCAAGGGTCTTCCAACAAGAAAATGACCCGGCGTCAGTGGAGTACAATCTACAGGATCTGATGATAATGGCGTTAATGGACGAGAGTTCAAAACCGCTTCAATTTTAGTGAGTGCAGTGTAAAGCTCTTCAAATGTCAAATTACAATTGCCCAACACTCGTTGCAAATGATATTTTGTTGACTTCACTCCTGCCTCCCAGAGTCCGCCGAAATGTGGGGTGTATGCGGGTATAAAATGGAATTTTATTCCATCATTCGCTGCACTTTCACCCAAGGACGAGCTATTAGCCTTTAAAAACTTAGATAAGTCGTTGTACGCACCAACAAATGAGGTACCATTGTCAGAAAATATATTACTTGGTTTACCTCTTCTAGAAATAAATCGATGCAAAGCTAGTAAGTAACTATTGCTAGATAAATCACCAACAAGCTCCAAGTGAATCGCCTTGGTCGTAAAACAAATAAAAATTGCGATATACACCTTTACTAGCCTGCATCCACGGCCTTGACGACTGGCACACATGATAGGCCCGGCGTAATCAACACCAGTGCTCTCAAAGGGATAGCCTGGACGAAGGCGTTCTGAAGGTAAGTTACCCATAATGGGAGTGACGACTTTACCCTTCAATCGTCGACACAGAACGCAATTATGATAGCATAATCTTGCCAAATTGCGACCTCCTATTGGCCAGTAAGATTCCCTAATGGAAGCCAGTAATAACTGTGGACCAGCATGCAATAGCCTCCTATGCTCAAAATAAAATAATAATTTAGTAAAAGGATGAGTGGACTGTATTACAATGGGGTGCTTTTTATTAAAATTAAAACTAGAATTATCGAGACGTCCTCCTACTCGAATGATATTTTTGTTATCTAAATAAACGTTTAACTTGAGAAGGGCGCTCTTCTTAGGTAATTTCTGATTATTTAAAAATAGTTCATATTCAGGAAATGATTCACGCTGACTTTGTGTGATCACAATATTGAGTGCATCTTGCAACTCATCCTGAGATAAGTAACTTGTCGCTGCATATTGTTTCCTACATGACTTAATAAATCTTAGTACATAAGCTACAGAACGTAAAACTCGTGAATAATTAGAAAATCGACTAAAATCTATAAAACATGATGTGGGATAAAATAACCAGAACACAGATTAGATTTATTTAATTTAGTCATATGACCAAGCGACTCATATTCTGACATGAAATCACGATACATAACCAGGCTAAACTTTTAATCTACGCTCTAATGACTGTGAACAGTGTGTAGCTTTATTTAAGGAATCACCTAGAACCGACGGGTTGTTCTTAAAGGGTATACGAACACAAAACCGACCATCAGATAATCGTGTCGTATTTTTGACAAATTGTTCCTCGCACGATTTCCCTTCTGGCATGAAAGAACTCAAAGATTTCGGGTTTACTTCATCTAGTTGCCAAAATTTTATTAAATCGGTTCTAAGTTTCTCCCAGTCATGATTAATAGGTACAGTACTACTTAAATTACATTTAGATTAGTTGAAAATGAAGAACTACAGTTTTGAGTTATTGGACCGGAGACTATCCATCCTAGGCGAGTCTCGAATAACATCGGTTTTCCGGTACCTAAGCTTAATCTTTGCGATCCTAGTAAATCCCAGAAGAGATCAGCACCAATTAAAAGATCTACATCAGCGGGCTTATAAAAAGTAGGATCAGCTAAAGTAATATTCGGTGGAATATTAAAGTTACTAATATTTATCTCACGACACGGAACATTACTAGTAATGTATGGCAACACAAAACAATGAAGTTCGAATTTAAAGTCATTATTTAACGATTCTATTTTAAATCGACATTGTTTGCCTACGTTGGACGTGAGATTATTAATACCAAGTATACACCTATTTACCTGGCTAGTTTGTAAGTTTAATTGTCTACATAATCGGTTCGTTATGAATGACGATGTGCTGCCGCTATCGAGTACTGCGCGAACGAGATGCACACAATTATTGCGGTCGCGCACCTTGACCAGAGCGGTTGGCAACAACACGTCTCGCTGCATATGACCACTAGAGGATGCAATATGTGCTGATAACGCGATGTTATTTGTCTCAGTGGAAGCAGACAGTAACGAAGACGAGGTAGACAAGTTATTAGCAGTGTTATTATCATTAAGTGTACTCGAAATAGTGCCTTTAAAATCTGTGTGAATCAGTGTGTTATGCCTACGTTTGCATAATTTACAACCTGGCTTCTTGCATTTGTTAGCGTAGTGACCCGAGCGAAGACAATTGTAACAAATTTTATACTTGGGTAGTAATTTAAGTCGAGCATCATTTGTTAAAGCGAGAAACTGTGGACAAGTATTTAGCGTGTGATCAGTGTTGTTACATTTAGGACATACTTTAGAAGTTAATTCAGTGATAGAACTAGTAGGAGACTGTGTAGCTACCATAGACTTAATTTTAGGACCTGTTTTAACTACCGTTTGGGAATTATTTGTGCGAGATATTTCTAATGTCTCGATTAGATCGGCTCGACTACGTAAGAATTGCATAAACACTTCAAATGTAATTGGGCTGGTTTTGTCTAACCTACCTTTACACTCTTCCCACTCACGATACGTCTTTTGGTCAAGCCTATGAGTGACAATGTAAATGAGCAGCGTGTCCCACTGCTTTACTGGCTCCCCTAAAGATTCTAAAGCTCGTAAATCCTTATTCAGCTGATCGATTAAACTCTTTAATGCAACAGAAGATTCCTTTGAGAGCGACTCAATATTAAACAGGGCAGATACATGATTTTGTACCAGTAATCTTTTGTTGTCAAATCGATCGCGTAACAACTTCCATGCCACAGAGTAGTTGCTCGACGAAAACTCAACAGATTTAATTACTATCGCAGCAGTACCTTCGAGAGATGCTCTCAGGTAGTGAAATTTGTTGATGTCGTCGATGTCATCATTAGTATGAATGAGACTAGCAAAGGTGTCACGAAATTCTAACCAATTAGAATATATACCGCTAAACTTAGGCAATTGGATCGTAGGCAATTTGACTGGTTTGTGCATGCTACCAGGTGTACTGTTACAGCTTTCCATCGATTTATTATCTTTATTAAAGTCTATCAAAATATTTTGGGCTCTAGACAGGGATTTATAATAAAGAGACTCGAAATCAGAACGCTCAGAAATTTGTAATTTTATATCATCGGCCATGCATTCCAGACGCAACTGTACCTCATCATATTGTTCATACAACGACTCGATCTTGCCCATGCGCAATTGCAGTTCAGAAGCATCACAACTAGTTAACGGTTTGTCCTTAAGTGAGTCCAGGAAGTTGACGAAAGCAGTCAAACGGCCTTTGAAGCTTCCTCGCTTTTTGATTAAAACCCTTTCCTCGGACATACGGAAGACGAGAGTGTAGTCAACCTGAAACTGATACAGATCTACTTGTAATAATGAATAATACAATTTACATATACACCTAACTGTTTTATACACTAATTAACAACCTTTGCAATTAATACAATTAATGATATTGCAAGAAAACCAGTATATAAACCAGAAATCCAATTGTTAACAAAGACAATGTAATTTTATTTTTAATTGTGCAAGTACCTACAATTCTAAGGTTGTAAAATAAAAACTGATTTGCTATAGAAAAGCTAAATTTTAAGCATTAATTGTTATTTAATACATGTACAACTGATAATAATCCTTTTGAATACTAATAACTTTACTAATTTAAACAATGACTTGCAATAATATCTACACTCGAATGAAATGTATTGCGGGTAAGATACCTACTCGTGACAATTAACAAGTGCTCTAAAATGTGAATTAGCTACAGCTTTATGGAAATTAAGCAAAATAATGTAGCAAAGCTAACTATACTATATTAAGTATGAATTTAAACTTAATTAAAACTGTGAAAAATGCTAATCACAAGTAACAAGTACCTAATGACTAATGACTGCAAATTGCACGAACACAATACTATGGTAGATAAAATTATAAAAAATGATACTGGCCTTTTATTCAAGACGACGACCTTATCTTATACTACCTGAGTGTTGGGTGACGATATTATTTAAATTAAATGCTTTACACCGCTAAATCACTGCTTGAGTTTAGTCCAATCCAAAATTGCGATGTCACGCTGGATCCTTATTGCTCGATATCCAATATCCTCTATTTATATGCGCTGATCTTCTGTATATAATGTATCCGGCTCGAAGGACCATGTATTGGCCAGGGCTTCGCAGGAAAAGACTCAAAGAATACTCAGCAAGTAGAAATTTAATGAGGTGTTAACTCAGCGAGTACAGCACAGCAAGTGATGAGATTAGCGTCGGTACATACAAAATAAAATAATACAAATAAGTACTTAATTGCTAACATTATACTAAGCACACGTCGTTGCTATGGTATATCCATCAGGCGCTCGTACATTATGGATTGTGATTAGATGTTTAATCATGTCGAAAATTGCTTGTTTTTGTTTGAAGGTTTTTTTTGGGTGCGAGAGGAAGTGCGTTCTTGATTGATTTTTTTGAGTGTGTGTGTGTGTGTGTATTTTGGATGGTTTGTTGAGAGGTTTTTTTGTGAGAGAGTTGCAGATTTTTGATTTTATATGATCCGCACGACGTGACGTTTAGTATTTGGAGTTTAGTTACTTCTTTGCTAAAGTTTAATTTTTTCAATTTTATTTCACTTAGGTCTACAAACATCCATCAACAAACAATTAAAAATAATCTAAACAAAAGTGTCATTAATAATTAAAAACAAAGTGAAGTGCAAAGAACAAAAAGCAGTGTTGCCAACCAAAAAAAGTGATGCGTAAAAATAAATGCAAGAAATTTAAATTCAAATGATTCGATAAATTGAGAATGGCCCTCAGGCATGACGTCACGAACATGGACAATACATTCCTCCCCGCAGACCCTCCCCCAATCTCCGAAATCATATACGAACCACGAACAGACTTAGCTACGGAATATTTTAACACTTTTAATCAAATATGTGAGAACTATCGAAGTGATTCTGACGTCAATCTTCGGCAAACTTCGGACAGTCTTCGGTTATCTTCGGAGATACTTGACGGTGTTCGGTCCGAATATGTTAGTTCGGACTTTACTGGCAAAGACTTTGAAACAAATGCTCAGAAAGTGTTTTTGAGTGCGAAGGATGAGCAGATCTTCCAGTTTGGACAGCCTGATGCCTCGGCTCTGTTGAGGCATAGAGCAAGAAGAAGATACAATGAGGAGCATGGTCTGCAGCCACCGGCTACTACTAGTCAAGAAAGTGGGGTAAGTTGAGTAAAACAATATCATCTGACTTATTTCGAAGACAGAAATGGGGCCTAGTAGGGCTGATGCCGGATACGGAGCCGCGGAAGGCCTAATGGGTTGCCGGGGCTCCGGCTCGAAGAGCAAGAATAGGGACGGGGTGGTTTTTAGTCAGTAAGAGTTCCTTCCTCAAAAAAAGACAGTTATGGTAAGATAAGATAGTTCATTTCTCTGGGACGCACCGGACTTCAGTGGGCCGGTGTTTTCATAGTTGTATCTACTGTAGGTCCTGGTGTATAGGATTTGCAGTGGTTTTGGGAGATTGAGGTGGGCTTTTCCAAAAAAAAAAACAAAGTTTATTAGACAAGATATAAAGGACAAATATCCATTTTAAAATAGTTGATTATTTTCATCCAGCTAATCAGTATGTTACTCCAATTATTTACTGTATAAAAGAAACACGCAATATTTCATGAACATTTTTGTTTTGGGTACCTTTTTATATGTAATTAATATTTCCTAATGAAGAACTAATATTGTCGCTAAGCAGATATGTTTAAAAAAGATTTAAAAAAAAATCCTGTCGTCTATACGTGACTTACCATAATTTTGAAGCTGTAACTTATAGTCAACCAATAATATAATAAACCAGGGTCCCAGAGACTTAAAAATTTATTCAAATTAATCACAGTAGGATCACAAATAGACATCATATTGGCTATGTACGCGACGGTGGCGACGCGTAGCGTTTACAACATTTGCGGAAGCTGTCAAATAATAACAATGTAAACATTATAAATTTCTTTGCAAATATAAAATTATAAAACCAAACATTAAAATAGTATAGTTGACATTATTTAAGTGCAGTTTATCCAATAGTTTTACTGTAAAATGAATATAATAATAAAAACCGGGTTTGTATCATCCACATTTGTTTCCAATTTCTGCCGTGTTGTGCGCTGCGGTCGTTATCTGTCCGCTACTACTCGCTTTGCACATAGCCAACAAGAAACAATTGACATTGTTCCTAAAACATTACTCATTACGACCGTCTCAAGACATCAAAAAATCTCAAAACTTGGCAACGACAAAACAACAAAAAGTAAATAATAATATCTTCAACTGAATAATTACTCAGACGGCTACACCTCAAGCTGTACACAACCAGTATAAACTGACCGGTGAATATTTAGACAGATCATACAAAACTAGACCAAGGTACACTGGTTTTGTATACCTCCTCGTGTACATCTTTCATCGGTTGCACATGAGTCGTACTATCTTTGTTGCTATTAGATAATTCTGCCCACGCTGTTTAAATATAGCTTCAGTCAATTATACCCGTCACAAACAGACAAACATACAAACATTTAGTGTTTCAAATATATGTTTTAGTTTACGCCCGCGTGTAGTTAATGCCAGTATTCACCAACCCGGCCTAAATTTTGAAGTACTTGACACCTAAGCTATTAGGTGATTCTTAACGATATTAATTTTCATCAACCTTCAAGTGACACCAGTGTAATAGTGTGTAAGTGAGGGGTTAGTTTAGGTGCTCAGCTAGGTAAATCTTAGTTAAGAGATGGTTTTTAGGGGTTGTGGGTGAAAGACGGACATAAGAACAATAGACTAATGGACTATTATATTTAGATGTTTGTAAAAGAGTGTATGTGGTAAGGACTGACTTCATTTTTTCTAGGGTAGGTTTCGAGTCTATAGGAACATGGGAATAAAAACTATTAAATAAATAAATAGACTACAACTGTGCGCTTCTCACGTAGCTTCCTGCCTCGCACAGCAAAACTGTGGAATGATCTATCGTCGGCGGTATTTCCGAACCGATACGACGTTCAAACCTTCAAGAAAAGAGCGTATTCCTTTTTAAAAGGCCGGCAACGCACATGTAACTCCTCTGGTGTTGCGGGTGTCCATGGGCGGCGCTGATCGCTTACCATCAAGTGATCCGTCTGCTCGTTTGCCTCCTATTCCATAAAAATATAAGTAACCAATGCTAGTTAGTACCTGAAAACTAATATTCTACTATAAAAAAAAACCGGTCCATTAGTTTCATGGCGTGTTTGGTACAAAGAAATTTAAAAAAATAATCGTTTTTATTTACAACTCTAAGCTTCTGCCAGCGGCTGTAGTGACGGCAGATAGAAATCTACCATGATATCCAAATTTCATCTCTATCCCTTCAGCCATTTTTACGTGAACTAGTAACAAAGAAACATATAAACTGTCACATTTATAATGTTAGTAGGATAAAAATATTATAAATATGTCACTTGATTTTTTTATAAGATAAAGTTGTATAAAATATCAAGATTTCGTGACGTTTGTTTAGTCATATTACTGTGAATATGTCAAATATAACCACGCCACGATAAGATATAAATACTATGTCGATAATAAAAATGTTGTAAATATCTGGAGATGTCAATATAGTAATAGCAGATATTTCACTGAAATATTACGTAAATAACAGTAGTAACATTTATAAATATATGTTTGTGCAGGTATTCTAAACTCAAAAACTTCTGATCATATTTAGATGCAACTCGGTCACGTGGATAGACTAAAAACTTTTCATCAACATAATTTTAACAAAATGGCACCTAAAAAAATACATTTGAAAAACAAAAATCACTTAAAATTAACAAAGATTCCTTCTAAAATGGCGCGTTTTTGTCCATACTTACAATCGAGTAGGTAATATTATACTTCGGCGTCACTTCTGACATAGCTTAATGGATTTTTGTCATACGATACTCATCCGCCATCTTATATCGACATTATAAATGAGTTTGGCGGGAATCGTGTTCGAAAGTCGAATGTACAAAGGTGCATTGAAGTTTAAGAAAAAAAAGAAAAAAAAATTGGCATCTGCTGCGTCCGTGTCTATGAATTAAAAATTGATTTCGTTCACTTGCAAGATTTGTTCGTTACACGCAGGTTTTATGGTCAAATATTATCTTTTTTTCTTGAATAATTAATTTAATAGATGAATAGTTGGTGTTATTTGCACTTCTGTGTCTAGGTACTCATTTGTATGTTGATGTTAATTTGTTACAGTTTTTATTTACCTATGTTTTTTTTATTTTAAGATCGATAAATAAATACCAAGCATGAAAGTTTCGATTCAATCCCAGATTCTCACAAAGTCGGAGCATCGACATCTTATACTCTTAATACTATTATATAAAGAGTTTGTTTTTTTTTTTGTACGCGCTAATCTCCGTAACCACAAGTCTGATTTGAATAATTCTTTTTGTGTTGGATAGTGCATTTATCGAGCATGGCTATAAGCTATAAAACATCACGCTACGACCAATAGGAGCTGAGCAGAGCGTGTGAAATGCGGAAGTAGCTAGTTAAAGATAAATATCATTATGAAATCCCGTATAACAAGCATAGATTGAAATTACTTTAAGGCACTGAGTATACTCCTTCAAAGAATTAAATCCATTACCATTACGTGGTCACATACACATTTTGTATCAGGAAGCGACCGCCCTGGGAACAAAGGTCCTTCATTGAGTCATCAGTACATCGTCTCGACGCGCCCGTTTTTAATTAGTTTATTTTTACATTTAACACGTAAGCTATGCTTGTAATGCGGATGTAAGGGATTCCAGAGAATCCTGTCTGTATATAAATCGTAGTTAGTAGATAATTTTTATAGTATATTTTATTGATAAGACTTTTTTTTGAGGGGGGAAAATCATCCAATGACTTCTCCTACCTTGGGTGAGGCGGGAGGGAGTGTCAGACTCTTACTGAATAAATCCCACCCCGTTCCTACTCCTGCTCTTCGAGCCGGAGCCTTGGTTATCCGTTAGACCTTCCGCGGCTCCGTATCGGGCATCAGCCCTACTGGTAATGGTGCCTAACTGGTAGGTAAGCCCTAAATAATGTACTATGAGTTCGTATGCTCTTTCGAATATTGCTTTTTACAATAATTCGCTAGTTACTTTTTGTTTTAAACATTTTATTTGTTTGTAAAACTATTGTATTACCGAGACAGAATCATTTTACTTTGGGATGCAAACGAAATAGATTTCACGGTGTAATACAATAGTAATAAAACCTCCTCCCTTCGGCTTCGTGGGGAATGTGAAAGTACATCACGTGACACGTTCCAAGTCCTGCTAGCTTCTACTGGCTGCACTCCAGCATTCTTATTAACCAGCAATGTATAATTCATTAATTAATTTACACGAACAGTTAGCGCGGATCCAAGGACTGTTGGCGAACGGTACTATTGAGACGCGTACAAACACATTTTGTTACTTAATCACGTCAAAAGGGCTGAAGGGATCGTGATGATATTTGGATATTTGGTAGATTACGGTCTGGTTTAACACATAGGCTCGTGCATTGGGCATTGTGTCCCACGGGAATGCGGATGAAGCCGCTGGAAATGGCTAGTCTGACTATCAAAGCATCCAAGTTGAGAAACGACGATCCATTGTACACTATTTTCGTTGTTGTCCTATAATTTGATTGTGTGGTGTACAATAAAGTGAATATAAATAAATTAATTAATTAATTAATTACATAACATAACATCACGCCTTTTATCCCCGAAGGGGTAGGCAGAGGTGCACATTATACCACTGTACAATGTAACACCCACTTTTCACTATTTGTGTTATGAGTCCCATGTAATAGGGGGTGAGCCTATTGCCATATACCGGGCACAATTCCAGACTCCGTGCTACTACTGAGAATATTTAAAAACCCAGTAATACCTTGCCCGACCCGGGAATCGAACCCGAGACCCCTTGCCCGGCAGTCGTACTTGCGACCACTCGGCCAACGAAGCAGGCAACGAGGCAGGCAATTAATTAATTAATAAAAATGAAACTTTTTGAGAATCTAAGTACTTCTTGCTCAACAACTTTGCTTATGCCAAGCCAACACAAGCAAAAGCTTTCGACACACCACAAATATGGCCGTCCACTGGAGATACGATTGTTAAGAGTCAGTTAAGGAGTACTCCTATATGGTGATAGGCAGGTAAGGGGTGAAACCTTACTCCTAACTGGTATATGGTAAACGAGAACATTCAACCATATAATCGTAGTATCTAACATATAATTGTACCTATTATTTGGGATACCTCGTTGGCCGAGTGATCGCAAGTGCAACTGCCATGCAAGGAGTCTCGGGTCCATTCTCAGATCGAGCAAAGGATTACTGGGTTTAAAAAAAAGAATTCCCAGTAGTAGTACCGAGCGATATTGTGCTCGGTATATAGCAAAAGGCTCACCCCTTATTACACGGGACTCATAACATAAATAGTGAAAAGTGGGTGCTACTTTGTACAGTGGCATCAAGTGCCGCAATATACACCTCTGCCTACCCCTTCGGGGGATAAAAGGCGTAATGTTATTAAATTAAGATCATTTTATGACGTAAGTTGTATGAAATTTGTATCAAAAACCGAGATTGATCCATTGATGTCCGTTAGTCGGGTATACGAAACCCGCGGGAAGAGTAGGGGTGCTGACAAATGTATTCTACTCAGCTGTTACCACACGGCTTACCCAGATTTTTTTATATTTCATGGGCCGACATTTGACCACTATCTCGCCTGATTTCCTCAACCCCCAATTCTTTCATTATTCAGATTCGAAGATCAAGCATAACGCACAACCGCGACACAATAATCGCATTCACAAAGACTTTCTCATCTGTCGCAATTGGCTAAGATCGGGCGCACACTTACGACCTGTCCCTTTGTTAGTCTGTTATGGTGTTACAATTAGTGCGACCGGTATCACGCCAGGTGCGCAACTGTGTACCGATACTTCTTGCGGAGATATTTTATGAAATAACTTGATAGACAACATGTTGGTGTAATTGTTTTGAGCGATATTTTCAGATCGACAGATGATTTTAAACTTAAAAAGAATATAAAAATTTCAAAACTGAAATCGTGACAAATCCCGAGTTACTCACGTGTATACAGGCGATAGGCGGCCAGTATGCTGCGCGACATCGCCGCGACCGTGCACGCTGCTCATAAGGAAGAGCCCCTCTGTGGTTCGAAACTAGTAGAGCTTATCTCAGTATATTCACGTGAGTAACCCGCGATTTTTAGTTAATAAAACTGCAATTTCTAACACTTTTGACATTTTAATCGTACTTAAATAGTATGTCATGGTTGCCCGGAGGCTTAAGACGCCCGCTTCTCATATATGAGAGTGCGTGTTTAAAACCTACCAACGGCAGGTACCAATGTGACTTCCGAGTTATATGTACTTTCTAAGATGATTTAGACCACATTACAAACGGTGAAGGAAAACATCGTCAGGAAACCTGGACTTAAGTCAAAGTCAAAGTCAAAATCATTTATTTCAATTAGACCAGGAAGGCACTTTTAAACGTCACAACAAAATATTTAAATATTAAATAATAAGAAAAAAAATGTCAGTCTGTAGGTCAGTCCTCTAGTGAAGCTATTTGCTCGTTCCAAAGTGTAGATTTCTATGGAGAAGAACGAGCAAGAAACTCCATAGGTTACTCTTTTTCAATCATGTTCACAATACAATTTTTGGTTACATTCTTTCGTTGAGTTCAATAATGTGAGAACAATGTAATACCAATATTTGGTCAAGGAGACGGATAATTTTTAAGTATAAGTTTGAAATCACCAACCCGCATTGAGGTATCGTGGTGATTAATGCTCAAACCTTCTCCGTGTGAGAAGAGGCTTTTGGTCAGCAGTGGATATTTATAGGCTGTTGTTGTTGATGATGAAAATAGTATGTTTGTTTGTTACTCTTTCACGTCAAAATGGCTGAAGAGATCGGGATGAAACTTGGAACAAGGGTAGATTATAGTCTGGATTTCTGGAATAACACATAGGCTACTTTTTATCCCACGGGCGTAGCACGCAGAAGATGCAGTAGAAGCTAGTATTACTTATATGGAAAAAATATTTTAATTTTTATATGTAAGTAGTTCAGCATTCCTATATAAAAGAAGTGACGCATTTTGAATCATGTACTGTGATACTATAGGTACTTTGAGCACTCATGTACATTACTAACATACAATTCAGAGAATCGAACCTATAATTAAGATGATTCCTCACTCTATATTGAGTTATTTATCCATTAAAATGCTTTTGTTTTTAACCGACTTCAAAAAAGGAAGGGGTTTTAAACACTTATTGTTTACCAATTAGAAATTACAAGCCCAGGTTTCCTCACGATCGCGGGACGATCTCCGGCCGCCGTAGGTGCGCGTCTGCGAACGGTAAGCAAGGATAGCTCGCCGCCCGACCAGAACCAAATCCGTGCGTACGGCGCGTCGCGGTCCGCGCGCGCCTCAAAGAGCCATCAGATCACCTTAATGGGGCCCAGTAGGGCTGATACCCGATAAGGAGCCGCGGAAGGCCTAACGGGTTGCCGGGGCTCCGGCTCGAAGAGCAGGAGAAGGAACGGGGTGGTTTGTAGTCAGTAAGAGTCTGACACTCCTTCTCGCCAATCCAAGGTGGGAGAAGTCATTGGATGATTTCCCGCCTTAAAAAAAAGTTTCCTCACGATGTTTTCCTTCACAATTTGTCAGTGGTGTCTAAATAATCTAAGTACGTAATTTGTAAAAAATAACTGAGACACCTCACATCACAATCAAAAATAAATTGTTTATTCTACCTCTATATTCATTCAATTATTGTTTTCTCGAAATATTTCCCTAAGAGCAGTTTCACGGCGATCCAAATATAGGTTTCCAATAAATGAATTAGTCATAATATCGGCTAAATTACTCCCGGCCCGAATGACTAAGACTTAGTATTGTTCGAACATTAGCAACTGAAGTCTTATATTTTGGAGTTATCCTAATCTGAAAAGGTAGGTTTTGCAACATACGCCTTTGTTTCATAGAACTTGACAAACACTATAAGTGCCACTACAACTACCTACTAACTGTCTAACGGCTGAATTATCAATCAATAGATAATTCTTAACTGTGGAATAAAAATAAAACTGACATTTCACAGTTTTTAGTATAGAAGAATTGTCATATATTCGGAGCTCAATTAATTAAGCAAACGTTTTTCGGCAACAGACTTTTAACCTAGTAACGGATAACTATCGGTAAGTGGGTTTTACATTGAAAATGTACAATAGGGGACACATCTGCCTGACCACCATTAAGTCAATGTTTACTTGCAACTGATGAGATAGCACCGCCCTATGACCTTGAATTTAGGAATGAAGCGGGGTGGCGGGCAGGGCTGGCGCTGGCGCAGGTACTTGAACAAAATCTAACTAACTAGGGAATTACACGGGTTGCGGAATTAAGCTGCGACGTTATCGCTTTTGTATTAATTGAGACATTTATGAGGTACCTATGGCTTGATTTTTTTGGCGGGTTCAGTCAATAAAATGTAGGTATAAATGATCAGGCAGATCTGTCCCCTACTGTACTGGTACGCCTCTGCCTATGTTAAATACTATATGTTAAACTGAACTAATTATGCCATAATTCACGTCAGGAGACAGATCCTTATACATTTTACAATAGTTACATTTTGTTAGTCTAATCGACGTCTAGGTGGTCAGCTGTCAAAATGTCAGACATGTATAAATATTTAAATATGGCGTCAATATATTAATGTTTTATAATCTGTGGCTGCTTCACAGGTTGTCTGTTGTTGTCGTGTTACATTTTAATGCATTTTTTTTAATGTTATCTCTAGAATATAATGTTTTATTTATTGGTTTTAGCGAATTTCAGTGACCTCTGCAATGGTTTAGACAAGGAAATGAATAAAATTGTTGAATTGATTGAAAATGAGTAACCATGGAGTTTCTTGCTTGTTCTTCTCCATCGGAATCTACATTTTGGAACGAGCTAATAGGTTCAGCGAGGGTTAAAAATGTTCAAAAAGATTCGATTAATTAAAATTCATATGCTTCGTTGGTCCTTATCTTTCTGCAGTCGTCGCGGAGAACCTAACGGGTAACCGGGGCTCCGGCTCGACGTGCAGGAGAAGGAACAGGGTGGTTTTTAGTCAGTAAGATTCTGACACTCCCTCCCGCCTCACCCAGGCGGGAGCAGTCATTCGATGATTTTTCCACCTTAAAAAAAACAAATCTTTCTGCAGTCATATCATATTGGCTTTTGAACACAAAGGATTAAAATAATTCGAGTGGATCTTCCATTGTACGATTTAAAGCGTGATTATTTTTGTTACCTACCATAAATATTGAACGTGATCAAAAGACCGAAATGCATAAAATAGACCATAAACGTCTTATGTATATAAAAAGACCTAAATGTGATAAAAAACTAACCATATCTTCTCTTGTCTTCCGCAGTACGGCAGCGATGAGTTCGGGCACGACTCCCCGAGCCGGTACGCGTCCCCCAAGGGGGCCGGCGCTGGAGCCCCGTACCAGGAGTACTACGCGGGCGGTGAATGGGGCGCGCCTTATTACCAGCCGCCGCCGGCCTACCAGCACGACCCCTATGCTACGTCGCCAGGTAAGCAGATAGCTTTTTTGAGTAATTTTAACTAATGTTCTTTCTCTGACTAATAGGTTCAAGCGAGGCCGAGGGTTTCAGAGTCACTATTAAAAAAGTAATGCGATATCCTCACTTTTTCCAGTGCCTGTTCCAACAGCTTTGAGATTTTGACTAGGTACATGTGTTAATGTGGCCGTAGTATTAGGTATACCATACGCAACCAATCAAACACTTGGTCATTGGGTCTTTCATGAAAGGTCTTCTAAGACTAAATAACATGAATGCTATATCGTCGCAAACTTCTATAAACCCGTCTTTGATAAGTGTTCTTATAATAATTGATTGTCTCTGAAATGGTCTTTTAGCACTTGGTCTTTTATAAACTAGTCGTTTACGAACTGGTCTACTCTGACCTAGTCTTTTATGCACTGGTTACCATGCAAATGGTGTTCTACATCCAGTCTTCTGCGATCTTCTTCAGTCTTTTACACCTTATTTAACACCATGTTCTCCTGTTCCAGGTATAGCGGGTGCTCCGGTGGGCGAGGCGGGCGGCGGTGGGGCGGAGCTCCCCCTACCCCCGATGTCCTCGTTCAGGGCGGCCGCGCCCCACCACTCGCCCACAGACCCCATGCTGGTTGCTAAGCCGCCTTTACAACCTGTAAGTTGGACTTTTTTTTTGTATAAACGAGCAGACGGATCACTTGATGGTAAGCAATCGACCCAGCTCATGGATACCCGCGTTACGTCATCAGCCCGTGACGAACTGGCGACCCACTGCTGAACTATGAGGCTCATCTACATAATATAAATTGTCGTAATATATATATACCAGATTTGGCAAATGAATTAAAAATCGCAGTTTAAAAGGTTCCGGTGTATCAAAAATGCTGCTGCAGCGCTGCCTAGTACTATCTTATGGATTCTTACGACCTCCGCGGGTAGAGTAGCGATAATGACAATAGTACTCTCCTCTACCGCCGCCACTCTCTCGCTTTTCTTTTATTAAATTAAATATAATATTAATATCCACAGATGTATGGCGGCGCGAGCACGACCCCAGCAGTGGGTGCGGTGGGCGGCGCGGAGGCAGGGGGCAGCCTGTCGTCGTACGGCTCGTCCCCCTCCACCCCCGTGCACTCCCCCCCGCCCCTACACGCCCGGCTCTATCCCCCGCTCAAACATACCGCGCACCATCATCATCACCATAACGGACAGGTGGGGATTGTAAAATTTACTTAGCAATACTTTTTGATGTATCTTATGGTTTTTTGCGACCACTGTTCGTTCACTGTCACGTTCTACCTGGTGGAATACAGAGCTGAACTCAAGAGGCGTCATAAATTGCCAATCGACTGATGTGCAACGTATCATAATTTCGATCCCGTCATGGAACAACTTTGTGTCTCAGAACAAATTGTTGTCTGGGTTCTACAAATTGTTCTTCCGAATGTAGATGTGATGTGCATGCTACATTCTGTTTGTAAACGCACCCACAACAGTGGAAAAAATACAAAACATCACCTTAGTAACCCCCCTTACCCCCATTCCAGCAATCAAACTGGGTATCATCAGGGGTGTCGTCCCCTCCGTCGGCGTCGACCCCCCACGCCCTGGCGGCGCCCGTCCTACCCAACGGCCACCACGCGCCGATGCCCGTGTTCCAGCCCACTGGAATGGTGAGTACCGTCCTGCCCAGACGTTTTTATAAATGTTGGAGTGATAGTATTGTGGTTGTGTGGAATTTAGTTTCATTATTAAAGGTTTAAAGTGTTAAAATATACATATTTTTGAGCTAGGTTCGTTTTTGAGGTATTTGAATTAACTTCATTCTGAAATATATCATGGTTTTGTTTAGTAGACTTTGATAAACTGATTAATCGTTATAAAGACTCGTGAGTTTTCATCATCTTCAAAAAGATGTTTAGCATTTTAACTGAACAGTTGGCGCGGTGGCTGGGCAACTGGCTGCCGCGCAACGTATAGTGGACTCAATTCCCGCACAGGGAAACTCTTTGTGTGATCCACAAATTGTTGTTTCGGGTCTGGGTGTCATGTGTATGTGAACTTGTATGTTTGTAAACGCACCCACGACACAGGAGAAAATCCTAATGTGGGGCACCGTTTAAAAAAAAGAAAATAAAATAGAAAAATGTTTTTTTAGTCTCGCATTAAATATCAACACAGAAAATAAAAATTTTCAAACAAATCGACAGCAAAATCAAAGCAGTTTATTTAACCTATAATTTAAACTTAAACTTCACATAACCACAATATCTTCGCCCCACTGTAAATAAGATCCCCGTACATACACTTGGGAGCAAATAGACGGACCCACTAGCATTTTTTCTTTTTAATTTCTTGATAAATATCTTCTGATACAAGTATTTTATTGATTGGTAACGTATGTCGTATAACAAGCAATCTAGTTACCTTTAAAATGAGATTATTTTTTTATAAAAGGAATTATTTTTTTAAAGCTATAGAAGGTTTTATAAAATGAAAAACAAAACGCTATTGATTTCGTTTCATTGCTCCCAAGTATATGCTATATTGATACATACAAGACTTGCCTGCTCGACCTTTAGCCAGCATTTTACAATAGCGCGAACAAATCTATGGAGAAGGAAGTTAGTAGTCCCATATACATATAATTATATAATGATATAAAATACATGATATACTTAGAATTTCATGAATATTATGGTCACTTTTATCTGTTGTCAAAAGGTCTATTTCATTTTAAAATAAGTGATAATATATCTTACATTTTAAATGCAATTATGATGCCGCTTGCTTTTCGGAATTAATTTCTAATGTTACTAAAGTCACTTCTATGATTCAGCTCTTTAAGAGTTCACAAAGGAAAAATGGTTTTTGTGTTTTCGCTTACTCTTAAAACCAATCTCAATGTAAATTCAATTTCAATCCAATAAAATCTCAATAATTTATTATTCAATGTTACTATACAACCCGTTGTCAACTGCCTCGTTGGCCGAGTGGTCGCAAGTGCGACTTAGGGGTCTCGGGTTCGATTCCCGGGTTGGGCAAAGTATTACTGGATTTAAAAAAAAATCTCAGTAGTAGCACGGAGTCTGGAAATGTGCCCGGTATATGGCAATAGGCTCACTCCCTATTACATACGTACTTCTGTGTGCACCTCTGCCTACAGGGCAGCCCTTCGGGGATAAAAGGCGTGACGTTATGTGATGTTATGTTACTATACAAGTTAACTTCACTAACAATTCAACTTGACGTTTCAAAAGTGTCTAATCAAGGATTAATTGAAATATTAGTAGCTGTTAAAATAGCATTCAGAGTACGGAATATAAAGCCAAACTCAATACTATTTAGTTCATTCAATATCCACGCAATACGGATGCAATGGGCGTTGGTGTTTTACCTCAAGATTTTTTTTGTTTTTATTTTTGACGGGTCGAAATAACAAGATACCGAAATTCCACAATATGAATGTCCGTCGATTGGAATTGGATTCAAGAGTAAACCTACAGTTATGAAACAATTTGTTACGAATAGCTATATACATAAAACAATTTGACAACAGATCAATTTGACCAGTATCAGAATTTCGTAAAATAATTGCCATTTTCGAAAATTGTACTCTAAGCATGTTTCCCTACCGCATGAATGTTACTAATTTTACAATTTCCCCGTAATTTTTGATTTTGTTCATAAACAATTTTGAAGCTTTGGATTTTTTCTTTTTTTTTTTTGTTTCCGAATTAATATTTTCGAAATGTAATACGAACAAAAATCGATCTTAAATCTCATTAAATAATAAAGTCGATTTTAGAATGATATAGTTTGACATTGACATGTCTAACAAGGTGTTGCCAGATTAAGAAAATGTTCGTAATACATTTTTTGTGTATATTTTTGTGTTTTATGTTGTGTTTAATAGCGAGGAGTGAGGACTAGCCATAGACTTGAGTTTTTTTTGTACAGTGTGTAGTTTTGTAGATTTTTGATAAAAAAACCTTAGTGTGCATTTTTTGGTAGATTTTTCGATTGGCTGTTGAATGAATTGTTGGTTTCTTAGATAAATAAGAGATTATTAATATGTCCAATGTCCCCTGTATTACGCGATTTTAGAATTCGCTTTTATTTCTATGTCCTTTTATTTTATAGTTAAATATTTGCAAATTTTCTTCCCATGCGTGTAATCCATGTTTCTCTTGTCCAAAAGTAACTAAAAGTCACAACATTTGTGTAAAAAGCACCAATTAAAACATTGATTTAAACAATTCTATTTCGCGCACCCCCTCCCCCTTAATGATTCCACTTAGCGAGCCCTCCTCTAATTTAAAAGCCTAGTTTTGAATCCTGTCTAAGTTCCTTAATTTAGGAACCTCCTAATATAAAGCCTGGTTAACTAACAAACAGCAATACATCGCTGAATTACGAAAAGCCCTTTCCCCTTACCCCCTCTCTCTCTCGTGTCTGTGGCCTGTCCCCGCCCCCCGCTGACCGTGGCTTGGTTAGGGCGCGCCGGCGGAGCAGAGACAACTGGACGAGGCGATGGTGTTCCTACGAGACCATACCGACTGTGTAAGTAATTTATTAGTGCTAAACCAACACTTATTGCGCTGTGGGTTTACGAAAATGGAGCATTTTCGGGATTTTTTAGACGTTTCTCGGGATTTTTTCGATGTTTGTCGGGATTTTCTGATGTTTATCTGGATAATTTAACGAATGATGCCTTACACCTCAAATACATGGCGTCTGTCCAAACGGTTGTACGTTTCTCGAAGTAAACACTGTTCTAAAAGTAAAAATAATTCTTATTATACTAAGTTTCTCCATTTAAATCCCATTCTAGACGAAAAAAAGCGTTTAAATAAAGCTTTCATAACATTTTTTATGTCAATTTCTGTCAATTCAAATAAATCGATACTTTAGCGTATATTATTATAAATCCACAGCGCATAAGCTACAAAATATTGCTTATTAAAATAAAAAAATCTATGTACACTTCTGCTAGAAAGAGACAAACACATTTCACGCAAAAAAGTTAAACAGATTGAAATATGTCTGTCTCGTTCTAGCAAAGGTATATATATTCTTATATAGTGTGTACATATGTATGATATTTTGATATTTTTGTGTATTTGCCGTGGCATGGTTTTACTGTATGATATTTTTTGCTTTTGTAGTGTGTTTTTATAAATTATATTTAGTAATTATCATAGTTCATGTTTAAATATAATTGATGTTCCCTATTTAGCGATAAATATATGAAGTTCCTGTGTTTAGACTCGTCCCTCTTGTAATTAGCTCTATCCTAATTCTAGTCTTTAGATATCTCCCCAAATTTATATTATATACTTGTGTTGTAACTTAAATGTTGCGCAATATAGTGTTGCTAGTATAAAAAATTGCGCAATAATGTTATAATGAAAACAGACTGAAATAATTTCCAAAAAAATACTATATTTTATTTTAAAATTTATGTCAAATAGTTTAGCCGGATAACTATGGTGTATTAGCGCCCTAATGGCAACCTACAACGAAATTGGAATTAAAATGTGAAATAAATATAGGACTAAGTCCAGCAGCTGTAGCCAAATGCCATTTAGCGCTTGTCTACATGTAGAATAGAAAACTAAATTATATGGAATTGACGTAAATTTTTACACTTGTCAGTGTCATCCCCATACATTTAGTTTTCTACTCTCTCTGTAGACAAGCGCTAAAATGGCGTTTGGCTAAAGGCACTGAGCCTTATTATCCCTAAGGCAAACTAGACAAGTGAGTAGAGCGCCGGGTTACAGACAGGCGCCGCGCGACGCGCGAGCCTATCTGGCCTGGCCATAGAGGCCAAAAAAATATGGGCCGCCTATTATGTGCCTGCCTAGCGCGCTCGCCACGTTTACTCCGCCTGATTAAATCCTTTACTTTATACAATTTCATAGGCAATGCGAAAATGTTATACAAGAACTGGCTATAATATACTGTATATTATACATTTATAGGTAGTATATCTATGATTAAGACGCAGTAAAGTGAGTGTATATATATATGCAGGGTGCTCGCATGGAGGAGCGGCTGGACGACGCCATCAACGTGCTCCGCAACCACGCGGAGGCGCCCGACCTCTACCCACAGGACCTGCATCATCAGCCGCCAGGTAAGGGGGGAGAGGGGTGATTTCTTCATCAATCTGTATCCACTCACTAATTAGTGGCTTAGTAATTAGTCCTTTAAATCTTTCCATTTATTGGTAGCAGAGGTGTATTTTGAATTTGAGGATTGTTGGGAATTTGGGGATTGGGGAGGTGGGTAACTAGGCCTCCGACCTTATTCATATGATGAAACCGGTCGAACCGGCCCATTCATGCCGAAGCATGGCTCTCCCATACACACAATATACATATACATATAATATGTATCGGCAACACCGATACATATCATATATATGTATATATACGTATACATAGCCCACTGTTTTACTTTCAATACCTACTATCTATAGATATACCACTTGACTAGCCCACTATGTAGAATATATTATACTGCATGCACAAGTACTTGCGCAAATACAGGTGCACTGCCACCTCGACTTAGACGACAAGCATTCCAACATGTCTGTAATGAGTCCTATGTCTCCGTACAGCGGCAGTATCCCGGCTGGGAGTGGGCGGCGCGCTGCTGCAGTCCGAGCCGCCCGTCAAGATGGAGCGCCACGTACTGCCCAATACTAGTTAGTATACATGTGTTTATTAATCAATGTAATTTTTTTATGGGAGCAGACGTATCACCTGATGGTAAGGTAATCAATTATTGGCGTCGCCCATGGACACCAGAGGAGACCACCGATACAAGTGCGTTGCCTGCCTTTTGGCATTAGGAATTTGAGAATTTTTTGGGATTCTGGGATTGGGGTAGGTAATTGGGCCTCCGGTAACCTCAATCACACGACGAGACAGAACGGGAGCGTTGTTTCACTATGGTTTTCTGCTCGGCCGTGGTGTAACTCTGGTTGAGCCGGCACATTCGTGCCGTAGAATGGCTTTCCCGCATTTGCTCATTTTAACTGTTAGTACAAAGTTATATTTAATATATAAACCTTAAATTCGGGGAAAAAGTCACTAACACAAACTGCGAATGTGGTTAACAGCTTACTTACGATTTACGAAACCGTTTGACGAAGTAAGTTTACTATCTTTGAACCACGCTAGGGACTCATATTTAATGAGTTAGCTGCTCGAAGTTTACCGAGTTGTGTATGCTGCTCATGATTTTATGCTGCTTACGAAAGTTTTAGAACTAACATAGTACGCCTTTTATCTCCGAAGAGAAGGCAGAGGTGCACATTACGGCACTTAACTCGTCGAGTACCGGTTTTATAGACACAATTAAAGAACAATAGGTTGCGGTCACCGGTGACCGCTTGGTGTTTGACAGATTAATGCCGCTGTACAATGTAACACCCACTTTTCACTATTTATGTTATGAGTCCCATGTAATAGGGGGTGAATCTATTGCACACACTCTATTGCACGCACACAATTCCAGACTCCGTGCTACTACTGAGATTTTAAAATAAGTTAAGAATATTTTGTTTGATTGTCAAAACTGACCTCCACTTTCCACCCTCGCAGAGAAACGCAAAGAGCCCCCGGACTCAGGCGTGGAATCGAAGCCGTCATCGTCAGGGTCAGCGGACGCGCTCGCGAACAAACCGCCGAACAGCAAACGTTCGAGGCGATAGTGAGTATTTTAATTATTATATAGTATTTTGTATTTATTGTTGATAGTAGTGAGGTTTGAGACAAAAATTTTCCCTGTTCTTTTTTTTAAACGTCACCACATACTAGGAGTTTCACCTGTCGTGGATGAGTTTACAAACATATCATACTCGCACGGAACAACTCTTTGTGTGATCCATAGATTTTTGTTTCTGGTCTGAGTGTCATGTGTATGTGAACTTGTATATTTGTAAACGTACACACGACACGGGAGAAAATTCTAGTGTGGGGCAAAAAAAAATTGCATGTTTGCATAGATTGCAGAAAAATTGTAAAAATAAAAGAAATACTTGTTGACTTTTCGTTGCGCAACATGCTACGTGCAACAAATGCATTCTTATTTAACTTTCATAATGAATTAGGGGTATTTTTATCTCATCTTTTAAGTGATATGTGTACTTGACGTGATTCTATGAAATTAACTTCTTAAAAGACGGGACTTAATTCAAAATTAACTATTTTTAAAAGAAATCACGTTAAATACACATTTGGAAACTTAATTGACAGTATTATCTTATACTGCTGTGACGTCAGAATTGACAATAATAGTGGATGGATGAATATGGCAATACTATAGTTAGTTCAGTGCTAAATATATAAAATACAGTACTATATATAACTTTAAATATACTTCCCGAAGAAACGCAACTATAAGTATATTTTGTTATAGAGAAACTTTTTTATTTTCCTATATTTTTTTTTTTTTTTTTTTTTTTTTTTTTTTTTTTAACGTTGCCCCACTCTAGGATTTTCTCCTGTGTCGTGGGTGCGTTTACAAACATACAAATTCACATACACAATGACACCCAGACCCGAAACAACAATTTGTGGATCACACAAAGTGTTGTCCCGTGCGGGAATCGAACCCGCGACACGTTGCACGGCAGCCGGTTACCCAGCCACCGCACCAACCGTGCAGACCAGATATACTAAATGGATAAACAACTATCTTTATATATTGGCATTTTATTAATTTCACAACTTGAAAAGTTCATAATATATATTTTTATTTTTATCGACTTTGCATACAATATTAAAAGGTTAGGTTAGGTTAAAATTCTAATAATCAATATTTCCAATAATATAAAAGTAAAAAGAATTCCCGAATTTGACACATAAATACGCTTCACATTTCAAAATCGCTTTTTTTGAACATTATGACTGGCTATAGTGCTGCCATCTATACTTAGTTTATAAAAGTATTTAGTTAAGATTGTTCTAACATTTGAGATGTCTACTTGCATCACTTATTTTAGATTAATCTAATAGTTTTATATAAACTAGTCGATGGTATACTCTATTTACATGGTATTCAATGTTTTACTTTGTGAAAAGAGGTCACACGTGTTCTACGCACTCATTTTTATTTATTTTTACAAATAGAAGTTGGAGTTAAATATATTGTTTATGTATAATGCTTAATAAATAGAGTATAAAAGTAATTGCAGATGATATTAATATGTTTCAAACAAGATTATATATTCCATTTTCTGTAAAATTGTACATCACTGAATACTATCAAAGTAAATCAATATATTCATCTACAATTACACTATAAATCGACTAGATTGTACTGACAGCCGTACAAATCTATTTTCCCAACATTTTCACGGTAAAAATCCCATACCCAATCCAAAAGTCAGTAACAGTCACAAGAAGTCATAAAAGTCATATATAAGTGGCTCCTATGATTCTTTCAATGCCATACGAGTCATATATACGTGACTTCTATAACACAATTGTCATAACAGTTACATAAGTGACTCTTATGACTCTGTAAATGCCACATATACATGACTCGTATGACTCTGTAAAGGCCATAAGAGCCATATATACATGACTCTTATGACTCTGTAAATGCCATAAGAGCCATATATACATAACTCCCATGACTCTGCAAATGCCGTAAGAGCCATATATAAGTGACTGTTATGACTCTATAAATGTGTAAGAGTTAAATAAGTGATACAAGTGGATCCTCTCAAAGCTCGACCAACCCTGCAATGCCCAGCTGTTCATCTGCTGATGAAGATGATATGGACCCTGACACGAAGGCGGCGCGAGAGAGAGAGAGGCGACAGGCTAACAATGTTAGAGAGAGGTGCGGTTTGTTATCATTGGCATTTGTTGTGCGCTGCCAATTGTTTTCTAAATATAATTATCTACGTTTCTACGTATTCATAAGTGAACTGTAATGTTCTTTACTCATATAGCGCCACTTTGGTCGCATAAGACATTACTCGAGGTTTAACGGTCATTTTTGACACAAAATAATAGTTTGACATAAAAGAAATAGTGGTCAAACTTCATCCTGTCAAATACATCAAAAACACAAAAAAATTAATTGGCAGCGCATAACTTTACCTTTTTATTTTTATTCGAATACACTTTTCTTTAATTCCTGAAATAATTATAAATGTCTCCTTTTTATGATTATTTTGGGATTTAAAATTATATTTTTCATCGAAAGACAAATATAATAATCTCAATTTATTTTAATATATTACATGTTTACTTTACATATTATAACTATAGTGAGACATATTAAATTAACTAAAAATCGCGGGTTACTCACGTGAATATACTGAGAAAAACTCTACTAGTTTCGAACCACAAAGGGGTTCTTCCTCATGAGCAGCGATATCGCGCAGCCTACGTCAGTAGGCCTCGTAGGAGTAACCCGCGATTTTTAGTTAATTTACTTTACATATTATTTTATTAGCTAAAATTGTCTTATCCAGAGAGTATTATATATTTGACTTTCGTCCTATATACTTTACATGGACATTCACATAAGCTTTATGTATGTATATTGGTGAACACATATCACTGGCTATAAATATTTCTTTTCTCAAAATTTTCAATCTCAAAAGAAATTGACAAGCAAATCAAGGTACACATGTTTTTAAATGCAATTTTGAAAAACCTGTGAGTTATTCCACTGATGGAAGAAGACCTCTTCTCATATGAAAAAGGAATAAGGCTTGATTATCAAAAGCTCAAGGCTGATTTTAAACATACATATCAAACTAGCGGACCCGACGGACGTTATCCTCCATATGTATGGAAGGAAAGACCAATAAAATGATGATTATTATTGTTAGTTTAGGATAAATATCCTAGACACCGACTACAGCGCCATCTGCCGGGCTAATTTTTAAATATAAACCATCCAGGGCGCCACTCAAACGCATATAAAAAATAACATTTAAATCGGTCAAGCCCTTTAGAATTATATATATAAAGATATTGTATGGTCTCACATATCAAAAATCACGATACTTTATCTGACCGACGCAATAAACCTGAGTGAGTACTGATAAAGGTATAACTTGATTTGCTGTGCTTTAAACTATGATGAGGTGCCTTGAAAATTCTAATAGTCTTCTACTATACAGGTGGCATTACGAAATTCCACCCTGTATATACATAACTATATCCTACATATGTGTTTGTTTGCCATCACGTACATAAGAGCCGGGTTCTTACTTGACCGAAATATTTGATTACATTTAATATTAATCTTAAAAATATGAACTAAAACTTTCTTATCAATAAATCTATTTTCTAGTAAAACTTCTATCAAATATTCTTCAGCAGTTTTTGAGTATATCGCGAACTGTTAAACGTCTATCGAGTTTTTCTGATTAGCATTATAAAACCAATCTTAAACACGTTTCTATAGTGTTGACATTTCTTTACATCATCGATAATGTTATTAAATATTTCGGTCCTACACACATACATGTCACGGTCTATATACATACATATATATAATATATACCTGTACATAAAATACTAACATTGTGTTATAGTTTCAGCACGCCATCCTAACTGGGTCACAGTGTGTACAATGTCTATTTTATACCTTATTTTTCTTTTATTATATAGTTCATTTTTGTGTGGCACTCCTAGGTAGGCGAGAGGTAAGTTTTTATAGTTAGAAAATAAATGTCCTTTTTACAGATTACTTACAAATTTCCGTCTTATTGTTGTTTTTTTAGGAAATTTTAATAATTTATTTAGTTCACATTGGTTCATAGTGATGTTAATGGTCTGAATAAAAGATATTGATATCAAATAATAGTACTACATATTTCAAACATGTTAACATTAGTGTTGCAATCGTATCCTAATTATTTGAATTGAAATACCAAATACCTAAGGAACAACGCCATCTAGTAGTGATAGTTATAAACTAAGTTTTTGGAGTTACAAAATTAAATTTTATATTACAGTTTTGCTAAGAAAGAAAGTAGTTGTGTGTTGACATTTATAAATCAAAAATATAATTTAATAAATAATAATTATGTTGGAAACGCATGGAACCATTTTCGATACCCAGGTATGGTTGCTATATGGTATACTAGCTTTTAATCGCGGCTTCGCTCGCGTCACAAAAGGATAAAAAGTAGCCTGTGACATATACCAATACACATAGCGCCATCTATACCAATACTTTTGTTTTCCCTCGGGATTATCAATTTTCATCAATCAATTTTTCCGGATAAAAGTACTCTATTATTTAATCCGGACTTCTAACTTTACGTCTGCAAAAATTCAAAGCAATCGGCTTAGTAGTTACGGCGTGAAAGCGGAACAAACAAACAAATTCACTTTCCGATTTATAATATTAGTAAGAATGTTTGGCGTTTGCCTATGGAAAGGTGATTTAGTAAATTCATTTATTTATATTTAGACGTGTGAGAATTTCACCATTTTTTCGGTTATTACATCGATTGGAAAGTGTATCGAGAAGAACGAGCAAGAAACTCCATGGTCACTGTTTTAAGAATCTATTTTATAAAGCAAACTAGCGACCCGCCCCGGCTTTGCACGGGTGCAATATACATGTATTATACATATAAACCCTCCTTAAGAATCACTCTATCTATTAAACAAAACCGCATCAAATTCCGTTGCGTAGTTTTGAAGATCTAACCATACATAGGGACAGACAGATGTCGGATAGCGACTTTGTTTTATACTATGTAGTGATGATCTTAAAGTCCTTTAATTAGTAAAAGTTATTTACTTTTAAAAATCAACTTTGTCTTTATATATTATTCTAGAAACAAAATACCTAAGTCTTGATCATCATTCATCATTCGTTAATATTAACAAATCATTCAATCATTCGCTTTATTAATCGGTTTTAGGACACGCTTTATATGGGCACACTTGAGCTTGTTAAATACACATACTTTTAATATACATAACATATTTATATTATACCTTTGAGACATACTAAATTTATTATTGTGTTTTTCGGTTTACTCACGTACGTGTCGTGTATCGCGGAATGCTGCTCATCAATGTGAGCCTCTAGCATGAGAACCTAACGGGTTACCGGGGCTCCGGCTCGAAGTGCAGGAGTAGGAACGGGGTGGTTTTTAGTCAGTAAGAGTCTGACACTCCCTCCCGCCTCACCCAGGCGGGAGCAGTCATTCGATGATTTTCCCCCCTTAAAAAAGAATTGGCTTGAAACTAGTCAACAGTTCAACTAGTCGAGTTCCTTGTCAAATATTGTATATTTGTTATTTTTACCATATTGAGTACAATTAGTCAACTTTTCTTGCGTAATATTATATATTATAGCTTACAAAATAAAGACTTACAATTACAGTACAAGAATTAAAGCATTGATTTAAATTAAAGTATTTCTCAAAATCGTTAAACAAAGTTTATTTTTTTAAGTAAACAAAGCTTTGAAATACTTAACACAAAACCATAGATATTTAAATATTTAAAACTACTTTAAAAACACAGTTCTTAATTAATCTTAGTTCATTAATCACATTTTATTTTTGGGCTATTTTGTAAATATTCGCTTTAAAATCATGCACTCACTGACTCATTCATTTGTTCACATCATTCGTTCTTTACAACTTCACTCAAGCTCAAGTGTGGTCGTTAAAATAGATATATTTACCCTAGCTATAAGTAAACAGGGTCAGCAGAACTCTCTCCCGCGCTGCCGACGTGCTCCAGACACTGGGTATTTGTATTTTTTATATTTTTTTATTAATAGTTGTTGATACGAAAGCAGGTTGGTCTAGTTTAGTTTGTCTGGAGACGATGGAAATTTTACTGTATCTTGATATCAAAAAGTATAATTAAAATACAGTTTAAATTTTCTTCTCAATAATAAATTAAATATCCAAGAGAGAGAGAGTAATTACATAATGTCAAAAATGAATGTTTAAATCTAAATTATTGACTTATCTATTTAACTGCAATGCTAATTATATGACATTTTTCCTTAAAACGAATAACCGAATACAAGCTCAAACATTTTACATAAAAATAATATAAATAAATAGAACATTTTTATCGTCTCCAAACACCAAACTTAGCTACAAATAGTACATAAATATACCTACATATAACCTGAAGTCTAACCCACACATCTGGGTGATAGTTGTTCCTCCGCGGACGAAGGGGACGATGAGGCGGACCCACAGGCCAAGGCGCTCAGAGAGAAAGAGAGGCGGCAGGCCAACAACGCCAGAGAAAGGTAAGAGAATGAATTAGGCTGAGTTTAAGTAAGAAAGTGAGTGTGGTTGAGTTCTAGTATTAGTGTAGTAGTAAGGCAGATTTGTTTGAAATGTTAAAAGAGAGTTGGAGTTAGACAAATATTGTATGTGTAATCTAATATACTGTGGTATGTTACTTGATACTTCTAGTCTAGAATAGAGATACTTCTAGAATAAAATTCCGAATAATTATGAATCATAATGAAAAGATTTAAAATATGAAATTGTTTCATATCAGATATATTAATGAGAAATAAACATTATTTATTTATACTTTTGTAGACATATTAATAGTTTAGGAACTTAAGATATTAATTCGTTTTGAAATACATTAATAATTCAAACATTATGAAATGATATAATCAAATTTATATATTTCAAATCCTTTTTTTCATTTTCTATTAGATGTAGATTTAAATAATACGTTTATAAACTAATTTTGTGAATAACCCCCTATTTTATTTCAGGAAATTTACACACTGTGACCCATGTAGAATGTTTTATTATTTATGTCATGCAATGCGCTGAAATTATACACATACTATTATTTATATACAAGGTAGCGTGTGGATATTAAGTTCTAGTATCTATAATCATTTCCAACCGTATTATTTCGCAATACGGTTGAATATTTTTAAACAGCTTAAAGTTACGTTTGTATTTAAATATACGACTATTCTAAAATAATACAAAAAAGTTGTATTACCACTTAATATACACACGCCATTACATATGCACTTAAAAGATTTTTTACATGTAACACTAATACCCCTGCCTACCCCCTCAGGATAAGGATACGAGATATAAACGAGGCGCTAAAGGAACTCGGCAGAATGTGTATGACTCATTTGAAGAGTGACAAGCCACAGACCAAGCTTGGTATACTCAATATGGCGGTCGAAGTCATTATGACGCTTGAACAACAAGTCAGAGGTGAGTAGTAGTAACTGGGCTGAGTGTAGATGAGTTTTTGTTTTATTTCTAATAAATTGTTGTGACTGAGATGCATATTATGTAGCATATTATTAAATATGTTAAAAAATAAAATAATAAATTTATTGAATCATGAAAGAGTTTACACAATTTTGTTTTACATAATGTCTATTGTATAACTTACATAATATTTGTATCATGAAAACAATTTTAGCATCTGTTGCTGAAATAGGTCTTAAGCCTGTGCTTTAGCTCGCAGCGCTTCAATCCTCGGAGCAAGTTTGTAAATTATAAAAAGTAAATCTGGGTATACAAACCAATAAACGTAAGAAATAACATGCTTAACAATAAAATAAATTAGACTACCTAAAATAGACCTAGTGGTCTAGGACTGCTTAAATCGCTCTTAGACCTAGCAAATTATTTTTTAGTAAATCAATTGTAAAATTATCGTTTATTTAAACTAGAGTTCTTACTGATCTCTAAGATTAGGTATGAGATTTTCTTTATGACAGCTTCCATTATTTTCAGTGACTGTAATATGAATTTCTTTAATCTTCAGAACGCAACTTGAACCCGAAGGCAGCGTGTTTGAAGCGACGCGAAGAGGAGAAGGCGGAAGAAGCGCCCAAGTTGCTGCCTGCACCCCTACAGCACTACCAACCCATGCCGGTCAGTTGACACAATACCTTATAACTAAACAGGATAAAGTATATTTCCCTCTGACAATAAATTTCATGAATCTTGTAACAGACTAAATACAAAGTAGTATAAATAGAAACTTGCAATAATCTTCAAGGAAACGAGAAACCGTCAGCTTTGTAGTTGTTGTGCCGTTGATGTGACGGGTATAAGTCAAGCGGCGCTGATCGCATACTGTTATGTAATTAGTCTACTCGTTACCCCCTATCGTTATCTCAATAAATATAGTATGCACATATTATTCTTCACTGATTAGGAACATTAACAATTATTATTTTTTTATAACTACTAGTAGTTGTTTATTTTGTTTTATTCTTACTGTATATTACACAAGCCTATTTTCGATGAATTTCTACTTAACCCAAAACTTTACTGGAAGAAAGTACCATAAGGCATGAAGTCCGCCGTATGTACCTTATTTTTGTGTGTTTAAAGAGTAAATAAATATATAGATTTTTTAAATTTGTTTTATAGGGCATGGGTCAATTGCCAGGCCAACCACCCACAGGCGGCCCCCCTCCGCAATAGCGACGCGCTGCGCGCTAACTACGCACTGCGACAGCTCCGAACCCGGGACTCTGTCGGCATCAGCCCAAGAAACACGCGACAAAACTCACGTAGAGTGAGTTTGGATGAGTTGCGATTGAGTAACATGTGAGTTGGGTTGAAATATGTTGAAGGTTAATAAAAAAATATATTGGACTGTAATTTTTGTATTTTATTTACTGTGGCTTTTACAGAAATAGTATACTATAGAATCAATATTTATAATGTACAGTTTGATGTTTAAAACATTCGCTAAATTAGTTACCACTAACGAAATGATTATGATGATTTAATAGTTCAATTATTGTATAAAAAGATCTGAATCTTGCATGAAGACATGCATGGGAATGAAGTGTATTTATTTCTAAATTAATAGGTAACTTGAACATCAACTGTATATTACACCAAATAAAATGTATATCCTAATAGATCTGTTTAAGTTTTCTTTAGTCTTTAACTGACATATAATCTGACATAACTTCCATAATTACGGATATATGTCAAATATTTGCCAAGTTAAGCTAATAAAAACTTAATCAGGTATAATGAAACATGTTCCAATGTTAATACTCAATGTTATTCAATCGTTAACAAAGAAATGTTAGGATGTTAAAATAAAAGGACTGTTTGTTAACAAACGCGTGTAAACCAAATTTTATTGCATTTTAATCATAATAATTATTATTTCTTCGACCCTGTTGATCAGGAATGGGCCACTGTCTTACCAATAAGACGCCATAATGTTTTTTAAGTTTATAATTCTAATGAATAAGTACACACTTTTAATTTCATATTTTTAATGAAAAATTCAATGTTTTTCGTACCCAGTGACTGTGATTTGGTGTTAAAAATACCGATATTTTTCTCATTTGTCATATTTTTATTTTTCTTTCTATTTGTAAATGAATCTTTCGTCTTTTTCGGGTGACCTTTGATCGATTTGCAAATACAATTTCTAATGTAACTTTTCTCAGCAATATAACCCAGTTTTATTTTTCCATTTGAGTTATAATTTCCGATTTCAATTTACAACTTAAAACCACCGGCAGTTACACAACAAAAATACTTGTAACCTACCCATTTTATACTCTGGCAACATCAGAGTCCGCCTTATCTATGGGTAACACTGTCGTGTGACGTCACAAAGCGGTAATTTTAGCACCAAATTCGACTTAATTACACGACAAATGAGTTCCAAAGATATTTTAACTGACAAATATTAACAAACGGTTAACAGCAGTGCGTAGTGCAAATTTCCGGACTCTGTAGTTGATAAGTGTGTATATTATTAGTTATAGAAATAGTTTTATATAAAAACTTAAACATCAGACGAAAAATACTATGTCTTGTATCCAAAGACATAATGTGTATAAAATATTAACTTAGCATATATAGATATATGATAGGTATAAATCAAATAAGAAAAAAACATATTTTTAATTACTTTTTGATTTTAATTCGTACTCTTTCGCTGCCATAGACACCACTACCGCTTTATATTGAGTTTTAAAAAGCTAGACAATAAATGTTTGTTCGTTTTACCATCCTCATATCATAAACAAGTGGTGTATTAATCGAATTCTTCGTAAAATTGTAGACTTTGAAATAAAAAATATGATTCTGCTCGATGTTAAACAACTTATGAAAATAGTACTTATTGTAATATAGAAAATGTGTTTTCTTTAATCAAAATATAATTAATAAAGTCTACAGTTTTACGAAAAATGTAAGTATTGTATAAAATATGGCTGCTAACTTATAAAAGTACTTAAATCGACGTCTGTACTAAAACTCCAGTGACAATTGACATTTTGACATTCATCGTTACGTATATTTTGACATGCCACACCGTGAGATCTACGTAATATAGTACGTACATATTTTATTATAAAAATATTAAGAAAATAATAACATTGTTCTCTTTTTATTTTTCTTTTTAAGAATATTTTTCGGTAGCTATTGTCGCGTACTTATGCAAGTTTTTTGTATAAGTAACATCAATTTTAGTTTTTATATATATTTGTTATTTTTCTATATAATTTTTTTGTTTATATAAAACTTTATATTTGGTATTTTTTTTCTTCTGTTTTTACGAAAGGAATACCAAATGATATCGTTTCTTCTTTTGGAAATTGATTTTTCAGACTTGTGAAAAAGAAATCAGATTCTTTATTTAATACGAAATAAAGACAAATCTAATTTTGACATAATAATTATAAAACAAGGTAATGTAAATGAAAAATCGTAATATCAAAATTCCATTTTGTATATATTATTACAAAAAATAAAGTATATTTTACAAAAAGTCCGCTCAATGACTTAATAATTCGAAACTGACATAATTTTGAACTAAATTATTATTTTTATTTGTTATTATTTCATGACATTTTTGTATTATTTTTCGAAACAACTATTATACGTACTGTCACAGTTACTTAGGTAATGCGTATAGTATAATATCTTAAGTTGTTTCGACTATGTCGGGTTTTAGTCGGAATTTTTAATCAGTTGACTAGATGACATCGACTACTTAAATAAATAAAAAGAGAGAGATTTTAACCAAGTTCTTTTAGAAAATTTAATTATTTTTGCGCTACTGTTACGCAAATTCTGCTCATAATTTGCGCAATGTCATCTGGTCTAATTTTCTTCTAAATTCGACATTAAAAGTACATTGTAATTGGATTATTATTAAAATTCGGGATTATAATGATATTTCAATTGCAATGTACCTGCTTATACCCGACTCAAATCTATCCATTTTTAGTTATTAGTCCTAACTACATAGTACTCTGTATTATATAGGTTTAAGGTTGATTTTCCCTTGAATCATGGATCGTGTATATTTTGGGAAAAGAAATAAAATTTAATTGTAATTATCTTGATAGCAAACTGTGCTTTAAAGTATGAAGTGTCTTAATATTTTTGATTCTCATTCTTTAAACGATGATTATAATTAAATTAGATTTCTTTTTTATAATTCCAAACACAATAAATTGATTATTATGATTTTAATTAATCAAAAGCTTATTAGTTTCTAAAATATTGAACAATATTAAATTTTAAACAGCATAAAACATACTCTTACTTATTATGTTAGTATTGATTTCAGTGATTAAAAATTTTTACGAAATTTTGTTCAGTTTTTCAGAAACTAAAAGTTAATCAATAAAGTATCTCATGCTGGCCATAATAAAATATATGTAACTGCTTACTTTTTCAACCCGCCATTTTTAATTTACAATTTTAAAAATAATTGCTCATTTATATCTTTGGTTGCGTTAAAAATGGCTTTTAAAATGAAATACCGAATTATTTCTCTCTATATATGTGTAATATGAAGTATTTTATTATATAAATGTAATAAAAACTGATTATTTTTAATTATGTAATATGTTTTTTGACAAATATATAATCTAATTGAAGATATTATGAAATTGATTTGTTAAGTTGATTTCGATATTGAAAATTGTTCGGGCTTAATTATGTATGTTCTTTGATTAATGATTATATATTTGTCAATAAACTATATATAATTTGACTCAATAACTCAAACTCGGACGATCTTGCAACATTTGAAAATATAATTTTTAGTATCGTACGTTAGTTTCTAAGCCTGTCGACCTTTAGTTTAGTTTAGTTGATCCTCTTCCATTTTGTAATAATTAAGTTTTTTATTATTATTAATTATCTATAATTTGTTGTCTATGCGTACTGTATAAGTCTATTTTAAGATTTTTTTAATATGTACGCATTCGCCCGTAATTTATTTGCAACTGGTCGTCTTATGAATGGTTCAAATTATTAGACATTGCCATAATCCTGGAGATTGTGTACAAAATGAGGCTTTTTTGTTATTTTATTTTTGTTTTTGTCAATGGCAACCCCAGCAGCCTATGTAACATAGAGCATTTGTTTCCTTTTCCTGTTCAAATGCATAGATTAAAATATAACTACAAGAAAGGTCTAATTATAAAAATGAATAATATTAATTAAATATAAATGTGCCATTCATTTTGCTAATTTTGTGTTTTATTTTACCTTTTTGAAATATATTATATCACATCTTCGTACAATGGTTATGGAACCACAGAGCTCCAGAGAGCACCACCTATTACGATCTATACATACTTTTGCTTCCTTGACATTCATACAACTAAAGTTTTGAACAACAACTTTAACATTACATAAATACTAAGTACTTGGATGTCCGAGCTTTGTTCGGTGGTTTTTTTTTAGTAAACAACAACTTCTGTAAATTAAACCTAGCTAGATCGATTCGTTGACACCGAAACTCCTTAATGTAAAATTTCAAGAAAATCGTAGATGATTCCGAGCTCGTTGATTATACATGGTGACTAGTAACTCGACGTATTCCTCTCGGGAGATGACAATACAAATAATTTCCTACAAAATTAGACCTGGGGGTCTGAAAGTGGCTGTTCCACTTCAATTCAGTTTCTGAGATATTCAACATTTTTAGTAACATAACATAACATCACGCCTTTTTATCCCCAAAGGGGTAGGCAGAGGGCACATTATACCACTGTACAATGTAACACCCACTTTTTACTACTTATGTTATGAGTCCCATGTAATAGGGGGTGAGCCTATTGCCATATACCGGGCACAATTCCAGACTCCGTGCTACTACTCAGAACATTTTAAAAACCTAGTAATACTCTGCCCGTCGCACTTACAATCACTCGGCCAACGATTCAATCAGGGTCAGTCAAAAATAAATTTAAAACTATAATAGGTAAGTGAAATGCAAAGGAAAAGGGCAATATCAAAAAGTCTTTCATTACAAAATTTTGTTCAATATGACTTCCCCTACGACGAATAGGTACATTACACGAACGTGCGTCTTATTTCTTCAGCCGCTTCAATTATTTCTCCGCGAACGTTTTCGATAGACGGAATTAGCGTTGCATTAACAAAGGTATTAATGTGCCCCTACACGTAACAGTCAACCGGTGTGGTGTTAGGACTGTTAGTGACAATTAATGGGATATCGTCAGCAAACTGGAGGACTCAGCAATCATAATTTAGATAGGAAGGGAGGTCATTAGTATTAATTAATATTATACAAGATGGCACTAATTCATAAGGACTGACCCCTGAGGTAAACCCCTCACTCACCCATTGCAAGTAATAGGTCACTTTAATACATTTTCAATTATAATTCAAGTGTGGGAGAGCCATGCTTCGGCACGAATGGACCGGCTCGACCGGAGTGATACCACGGCCGAACAGAAAACCGACGTGAAGCAACGCTTGCGTTGTGTTTCGTCGTGTGAGTGAGGTTACCGAAAGCCCAATTACCCTCCCCTTCCCCAATCTCCCCAATCCCTGAATCCCCAACGATCCTCAAACTACTAATCCCCAAAAAGCCGGTAACGCACTTGTAACGCGTCTGGTGTTCCAGGTGTCCATGGGCGACGCTGATTGCTTACCATCAGGTAATCCGTCTGCTCGTTTATCGGCTTATGCCATAAAAAAATATAACCAAATGATTAATATGAGGGTGTGCGCAAAATAAAACATAAAAATATTTATGTCCTCAGCCTTAACAGCGACAACATTTATGTCATCGCCAACGAATGATAGAGGGATCTGGACGAAGGGCACTTTGTTAATAACTAACAAAGCACAGCCTCCGTAACCATCAGTTCTGTCATGTCTGATAATACTGAAACACGGGATCCCGAAATTAATATTCGGTCGGAGCCATTTCGCAGCAATGCCACAATTAAATGGTTTTTGTTGATTAGGTGTAGGAACTAGTAGGATGTCACTCTTCCTGGGAAGAGAACCATAACTGGTGGAACATTATCGGCTCAAAGTCCTTTAAAGCCTGGTCCTTGAAATGTTATGAAGTAGGTAAGTACCTCAGAGCGAAACGAATTATTTACGTCAAACAAATCCGCCTAATGTTTTGCCGGTAACAAAACCATAGCTTGAATTTAAATCGCCCGACGCCATATATCATGCTATAGAACAACTCTAATAAAATATTGTAACGTTGGGCTTTATATTGCAGCCTCTACCTCAGGGTGTGAGATGGAAATGAGGTTCGAATGCGCGAAAACTATAGTGAAAACGTTTATTAACTGAACAGGTGTCTATAAAACTACACAAACAGGGGTTAACTTAAAATTAGTTAATGTAACCGGGTGCCTCGCGGAATAGCGGCTATGCGCTCTCGCGGCTAGTTGTCCACTGTCGTTGGCGGGGGTTCGCTTTCACTCCGTTAAGGGTGCGTCCGAGCAAAGACAATAAAGGACCCTTGCGCCACATCTGGGCCGCAGCTGGGCGGTGGTATGTCTCATCGCCGTGAGGCATGCGCCCAAACCTAACTATTATTACCCTCGTGTTACAATATTAATTTTAATAGTAGTATGGCGTTGGCCGAGTGAGTGCATCTTTTACCAAGATTATTCTATCTTGAACGCTGGGAGAAAAAGGAGCATGGGATTTGTGTTTGACAAAGACAGTTTTTCTATTTTAGGACAGCCTCTATGGGGATGATTTTTTGTTTGGTGTTGATTGAATGTACTTGTAGTTGACAGATCTGAATTTAGAAACCTTATAACTTTGACCGCAGGGAATACTTGGCTTGCTTCCGCATATGTTTGCATTTTTTTTGCCATCAAAACTTTAATGCTCTTTTAGCGGCCTAACTCCTGAGTTGCCCTGGCAAGCACTGTTATTAGCAAAATGACTGCAATTGCAAGTGATTCTTCTGACACTAGGTATCGCAGGATGATCCTGACCACATCTGTGTGACAAGTGTGTGAGAGCCATGCTTCGGCACGAATGGGCCGGCTCGACCGGAGTGATACCACGGCCGAGCAGAATACCGACGTGAAGCAACGCTTGCGTCGTGTTTCGTCGTGTGAGTGAAGTTACCGGAGGCCCAATTACCCTCCCCTTTCCTAATCTCCCCAATCCCTGAATCCCCGCTCTTCGTCGGTACCGCACTTGAAACGCCTCTGGTGTTCCAGGTATCAGGTGATACATCTGCTCGTTTACCGGCTTATGCCATAAAAAAACTGAAGCAACGCGGCTTGGAGCGGCATAGAGTGCGGGTGTGCCCAAAAAGACAACAGTTGAAACACTGTATTGTAAACCTATGCAGTGTAAAAACAAAAATCTTTTTTTGGTTTTGCCCATCGAAAGTGACACCCGCAGTTTGGTAGGCTTCCATACCGTACCATTATCTGATGACACTGTACGGTTCATCCGTCTTGCTTTGATTGCAATACCACATCCAGCGCCAACATTTGTTTCTGATATCTTCCTCTGTTTACTCACTGGGTACATCCCTCACAATGCCCATTCTTGAGGGATTGAGGTGGTATAATTTTGTGCTACCACACAGTTGGCCAGGTAACTATTTCATCATCATCATCAACAGCCTATAAATGCCCACTGCTGAGCAAAGCCTCTTCTCACACGGAGAAGGTTTGAGCATTAATCACCACGCTTGCTCAATGCGGGTTGGCGATTACAAACTTATAATTAGAAATTATAAGTCCAGGTTTCCTCACGATGTTTTTCCTTCACCGTTTGTCAGTGGTGTCTAAATAATCTTAGAAAGTACATATAACTCGGATAAAGTCACATTGGTACTTGCCGTTAGTAGGTTTCGAACCCGCACCCTCATGCATGAGAAGTGGGCGTCTTAAACCTCTGCGCCACCACGACATTTAACTAACTAACTATTTGCATTTTGGTTAAAGACAAACTCAACGGACAGTTCCTACAGAGTTGCTTCACTCCTCCAATTTTAATATTGTTTATATTAATTTTCGTCAAGAACATTCCGAATTTGACTGAATGAAGAGTAGTACCAGTCGTCTGGGAGTCCTTGAGCGAAACGTGAATAATATAAGGGGGTTGTCTCTAGCCGTGTAACACTGCCTACCTTCGGAGGGTTGATGCGGGAGATAATGCGAGAGCTTGCACGTTGTGTTCTATTATAATCAGATTCGGAATCCATCAAGTCAAGATCCTGGTTGTCGTGGGGGACCATAAGGCATAAAACAGGATTATATTCAGAAGATTTGTCGGGAGCATCGGGGGGCTTCTCCTCGTCCATCGTGTACAATTAGATTAAAAAATTGTGTGAAGTCTTGGTGATGAAGTGTAATTGTCATCGGGGGTTTGATAATGAAGTGCTATGACACCTAAGGGAACTCCTCAACGGTTAACAGTAGCTACCTTGTGTTTGGGTTTAATTTGAAGTATATCTTGCTGACGTAATAAATTGTGAATGTTTGCGAGGATAATAAATAAAACAAACAAATAAAAATAAGTGTAATTTATTACAATTGGCTCTTTATGATATTTGAGCGATTTCTCCACAGGTGTTTAAACAACAAAAATCAGGTATTTCCACATGTTTTCAAAAAACTAAAGTATAATAATATGTATTTACATAAAATACGAAGCCGCGTGCGTGTACCACAAGACAGAAAAAAAATTGAAAAATTTTAAAAATGCAATCAACACCAGCCTCTATAAAGACGGTATGATATGACAGAATCTCCAAACTTGTCAAGCCAGTTGGAGATACGAACACAAAATCATAATAAAAATATAAATAATGGAGAAACAACTTTAAATATGTTTCCTTAATCTCCAAGCTTGGTAAACAAGTTGAAGATACAAAATACAACAGTAACACAAAATTTCACAAATTTTAATTCGAATACAGCAAAAACAACTTTAAATACATTTGTAATAGATTTGCACACGACTTCAATACGTCTAATGTATGTCCAGGGCTTGTCCGGGCAATGCCTATCGCCTGTCCGTCTTGCCCACTCCTCGTTTGCCCGCGAATAGATGTTTGGGCATCTTTGTCCCGATGAACCTGTCCGCTTCTCCCTTGAGACCCATCCGCTTGGTCTTCTTCGCGATCGCGACGTGGGCGAGCTTTTTCGCTTTTCTTTGCATCTGTTGACGGTTATAAAATATTTAATAACTTAGTCTATAACTACACTGCAAAGAAACGCAGCCACTATCGTTATTTTTTAATTTTATCGAACTATCTATAACTAAAAAAATATATTGAAACAACCAAATGCTCTCATTTTAAATGTAACTAAATTGCTTTTTATACGACATACGTTACCAATTAATAAAATACTTGTGTCAGAAAACATTTATCAAGAAATGAAAAAGAAAAAATGCTAGTGGCTCAATTTATTTGCTCTCAAGCGTACATTCATTAAATAACAAAATGTCTCTAACATGTGTCAAAAATAAAGTATTATCTATTTAAATAGTAACATGTCCTTGACATGGGTAATGCCCGCTAGAGCACTAGCTCTGCTTGCGACCTTATGCCAAGCTGTCGCTGTGTGCCCGAGTTGACTGAACTATAGTATGTTACTATAGTCAGCTTCGAACGGGCAAAATTCAACACGCCATTAGTAAAAGTATGCACCGGTATTGTTTATTTATACGAAACCAAAATAGATTGTATTTTAATAATATACAGTAGGTATTTATTAAATACAAATAGGGTTGTATTCTAAATTTTATTTTAATGTCCATCTGGTAGTTTATTTTAAAACATTACACACGGAGTTTTTCTTTTCTCACAAAATTAAATACTATCGACGATATATTGATTTGAAATATCGTGTGACGTCACAGCGTGCCAAATTTCGTAACACGATATGATGTAACGACCTCCCACTACTAAACTTAAGTCCGTTCTAAAAGTATTGTATGTCGAATAAAACTCTTTTCATTTCATTTCACATAGAATAAAAGTTTCGTATAAACAAAAAATAAAGATGTAAACGAAATTATTAATATAATGATACTCACAATGGCATCTCCAACGCCCTCTGTATCCCTGGCGGGTTTGCTGACGGACCGCCCGCGCGAGTCAGCCCGCGCGCGCTTGGCGGCCGGCGCCGACTGCGAGCGGGAGCGGGAGCGGGTGAAGTGAGCGTCCTTCGTGTCTGACATGTCCACGCCTGGAGAAAGGAGAATATAGGTTTATAAAGTCCTTCATTTTACACCATATATTGTCAAACATATAAATACAGGATATAAATGAAACGGTGACAACAAGAAATTGTTAAGCCTTGAGCTGATTAGATTGCAATTATCACTACATAGTATAAATCAAAGTCACTATCCGCCGTCTGTCAGTCCCTATGTATGCCTAGATCTTTAAAGCTACGCAACGGATTTTGTTGCGGTTGTGTTCGATAGATAGAGTGATTCCGAAGGAAGGTTTATATGTATAATACATGCATATTGCACCCGTGCGAAGCCGGGGCGAAACATTTATATACCGGGCACAATTCCAGACCCCGTGATACTACTAAGATTTTTTTATATAACCCCAGTAATACTTTACTCGACCCGAGAGCCTTTACCCGGCAATCGCAATTGCGACCACTCGGCTAACGAAGCAGTCAATTTAACATTACGATTTTATTTTTAAAATAATTACTAAGATCAGCAGCTGTAGCCAAATGCCATTTAGCGTTTGTCTACATGTAGAATAGAAAGCCAAATTATATGGGATTGACGTAAATTTTGACACTTGTTAGTGTCATCCCCATACATTTAGTTTTCTACTCTCTCTGTAGACAAGCGCTAAAGGGGCGTTTGGCTAAAGGCACTGGATCGATTAACAAATTGAGTGACTGCTCAGGGTTTTTTTCCGTATTTTACAAAGAAATAGGTTTGTATTGGTATGAATATAATAATTTGTCCTTGACATGGGTAATGCCCGCTAGAGCACTAGCTCTGCTTGCGACCTTATGCCAAGCTGTCGCTGTGTGCCCGAGTTGACTGAACTATAGTATGTTACTATAGTCAGCCTCGAACGGGCAAAACTAAGAAATTAATTTATACAAGTAACGTAAATATAAACTAAACTAAAGAAACATAACATCACGCCTTTTACTTTTATCCCCGAAGGGGTAGGCAGAGCAGAGGTGCACATTACGGCATTTAATGCCACTGTACAATGTAACACCCACTGTTCACTATTTATGTTATGAGTCCCATGTAATAGGGGGTGAAACTATTGCCATATACCGGGCACAATTCCAGACTCCGTGCTACGTCAGTTTTTTTTTAAAAACCCAGTTATACTTTGCCCGACTTGGGAATCGAACCCGAGACCCCTTGCCCGGCAGTCGCACTTGCGACCACTCGGCCAACGAGGCAGGTTCCATATAAACAAAAATAAATATCGCCACATACCGAGTTTCTCCATCTCCTCCCTGAGTTTCCCAGTGGAGCGGTCCCTGGCCCGCGCCCGGCTGGTGCGCGGCATCACTGGCTTCGTCGACTGCTTCACCAGGCGGGACTCGTCCTTTAGGATCGCCTTCTTGTTGCTGGAATATTACATTTTATTTAGTGCTGGCAGAGTATAACGATAGACACCAATAGTAACTCTTGTTTTTTTTTATGGCATAAGCTCGTAAACGAGCAGACGGATCACCTGATGGTAAGCAATCGGCGTCGCCTATGGACGCCTGGAACACCGGAGGCGTTTAAAGGACGATACCGGCCTTTTGGGGATTAGGAGTTTGAGGATCGTTGGGGATTCAGGGATTGGGAAGATTGAGGAAGGGGAGGGTAATTGTTTTTATAACACCTATCGTGAGACACTATATTAACTAAAAATCGCGGGTTATTGACATGAATATACTGAGAAAAGCTGTACTAGTTTCGAAACTAGTTATTACGCTCCGCGACATCGCCGCGACCGCGCTCGCTGCTCATGAGTAAGAGTCCCTCGATGGCTCGAAACTAGTAGAGCTTATCTCAGTATTTTCACGTGAGTAACCCGCGATTTTTAGTTAATCCCTACTCTTCCCGCGGGTAGGATTCGACTGAGGGACTATATAAGAGATTAAGCAGTGCTCTCTGATAAACCTGGACGTGGAATATTAACCTGTAATCTCCAACCCGCCTGTCAGGCGTGGAGATTATGGGAAGCTCCTCTTTTGTCATAGTAGGCCTAGCAGTGGACTCACAAGGTCCCAACACACTCGGAGTGAAACAAAACACTGCTTGCAACATACTTGTAACACCTCTAGTGTTGCTGGTATCCATGATCAGCGTCGATTGCTTCATCATCAACATCCTATAAGTGTCCACTGCTGACCAAAGGACTCTTCTCACACGGAGAAGGTTTGAGCATTAAACACAATGCTTGCTCAATGCGGGTTGGTGATTACTAACTAATAATTAGAAATTATAAACCCAGGTTTCCTCACGATGTTTTCCTTCACCGTTTGTTAGTGGTGTCTAGATAATCTCAGAAAGTACATTTGACTCGGAAGAAGTCACATTGGTACTTGCTAAACCGCACAATAATCACCCCTACAACTATAACAATACGTACCGTATCTGCCTGGCGAGTTCCCTGATCTCCTTCATGGTATCGTCCAGTTCTATCTTGGGCACTGCGTACATTCCTCCCTCGACACGTAACTCCTCCTCGCGTTCCAACTCCGCCAATTTCTAAAACATATTATATATTTAATACGTATATACTTGAAACTCCGAATCTTCCAATTTTTGAAGTCGGTTATAATAAAAAACCTTCTACCAAGTGTTCTACTGAAAACTGCATCAAAATCGGTTCAGCTATTTGCGAGATAATCGCGGACAAACTTTGCTGTCTCCTTTTTTAAGAGTCCATTAAAAATATTATAATTTCTATACATATTTTTAGAAGTAACTTTTGACTAATTTCAAGATCATTGCGTCCATTTACTTAATGTTTGACAAAATATATACAAATTAATTTTATCAACATTAATCCACTAGGAAGACAAAATAACATAGATTTTGTTTATTAATTTGTCCTTGACATGGGTAATGCCCGCTAGAGCACAAGCTCTGCTTGCGACCTTATGCCAAGCTGTCGCTGTGTGCCCGAGTTGACTGAACTGTAGTATGTTACTATAGTCAGCTTCGAACGGGCGAGAAAATACAAATAAAAATCATAACTTGATGAGCGCAAACTTTACTAATTAACTCCCAATTCCATCATCAGACCAGCTTGATGGTACTATAATATTGTATTGTCATCTAATCTACATACAATTGTCAAGTTTCATAATGAACCAACAATTGGGTACTTGCCTTCATCAAAAAAATATTATTTCGACTGTTCAACACAATAAAATATTAAAAACTAATCACACTTTCATTAATTGATTTTATAACGAACTTAACTTTAGTATTTTTCCAGCACATTCTTAAGAAATAAGTATGCTGTTTGATGCTAAAAAAAGTGACACCACAATACACAATCTCATACAAAATTCTTTGTTATATTGTAAAGATACCCGACTAGTTTTGAGCTAATTCAAAATCTCGTACAAAATTCATAGAAAACTGTCGTTTTTGACAGTTCGAAAAAAGTATTGAATTTGACTAGATGGCAAGTACTCAATTAGAAGTGTGTGTAATTCAGATTCTTAGATTTTGTTACAAGTCGACCTAATAAAAGAGTGGTAGTAATGATCACGCTATGTATGGACAGGGGTACAGGCAGTAGAGTACTCACGTCGAATATGTCGGGGTCGATGTAGTCCGCTATGTTGTGTCCCTCCCAGAACTCGGGGATGGGATCGTGGCGCTCCTCCTCCGGGATCTCGCTGTAGTTCTTCTGTAGATCTGTGTGCAAACAAATTATTATTATTATAGGTAGGTATTGTACATTTTACTCTTAAAGTTTACTAAAATATTTATTCCAATCTATATATTTATATATAATTCAAAGGTGACTGACTGACATAGTGATCTATCAACGCACAGCCCAAACCACTAGACGGATCTGGTTGAAAATTGGCATACAGATAGATGTTACGATGTAGGCATCCGCTAAATAAGGATTTTGATCATTTTCACCCCCAAGGGGGTAAAATAGGCGGTGAAATTTGTATGAAACTTTGTCAATTTTAAACTGATCGGGTTGAAATTCGGGGTGCCGGTAGATATAATGGCGTAAGCATTCTCTAAGAAAGGATTTTGATCATTGCCACCCCCAAGGGGGTAAAATAGGGGGTGAAAGTATGTAAGTATGTATGAAACTTTGTCAGTCTTACACCGATGGGGATGAAATTCGGCGTGCAGGTAAATGTTATGACGTGGGCATCTCCAAGTAAGGATTTTGATCATTTACACCTCCAATGGGGATAATGTAGGGGATGAAAGTTTGTATGAAGCTTTGTCAGTTTTACACCGATCGGGTTGAAATTCGGCGTGGAGGTAAACATTATGACGTAAACGTCCCTTTAGACAAAGTAGCGGGCAACAGCTAGTTAGAACATAAAGTCGAGACAATATAAAAAAATAACTCACCAAGTACATAATCATCGCCTTCCTCGACCTCTATGTCCCTCTCGAGTTTCCTCTTGCGTGCCTTGTCGGCCTGTAGTTGTTTCTTGGCGAGCACGGAGTCGGGTATGACGGCGGGCCGCGCCTTGCTGTCGCGCGGGGCCGGCATCGACACGTGCAGGCGGTTCAGGATGCCGTCCACCTGGGGGGATATTCAATATTATAACATACTAGCTACTTCCGCGCGGTTTTACTCGCTCTGCTGGGCGCCTATTAACCGTAGCGTGATATTTATAGCCTATAGCCTTCTTCGATAAATAGGCTATCCAACACAGAAAGAATTTTTCAAATCGGACCACTAGTTTCGGAGATTAGCGCGTTCAAACAAACAAACAAAAAAACAAACTCTTTAGCTTTATAATATTAGGTATTGATTAGTTGACCCGGCAATCTTCGGTCCGCCTAAATTTTTTAAACCTCCCTGGACTTCCACGAACATTTCAAGACCAAAACTAGCCAAATCGGTTCAGTCGGTCTCTAGTTTTAGCGAGACAAACGAACGAAAAATCATTTTTATTCATATAAAAATTTTATGCATTTATTTACACTTTTATATTTTGACGTCACGTGTTTTAAGCGTGAAACAGCATACTTATTTCTTAAAAATTTGCCGGAAAAATACTAAAATTAAGTTGGTCATAAAATCAATTAATGATAGTGTGATTATTTTTTAATATTTTATTGTATTGAACAGTCGAATTTATTTTTGATTAATAAAAAGTACCCAATTAACCAATTTCAAAAAGGGGATTGTATTCGGTATTTTTTATATAGTGACTACTAGTGTTATAAAAGAATTATTACTTAACTCTTTGAGTAGGTACCGTCATTATAGACACAATTAAAGAACAATAGGTTTGCGGTCATCGGTGTCCTCGCGGTGTTTGACAGTTTAATTCAATATTAATTGTACCTTCTTAGTCCTCATTTTCTCAGTGACCCTGTGTCCCAGGAGCCTCTCGCATGCTTCTATCTTCACCTCCTGCACTCCTTCCTCCGTGATAGTCGACATGCGCATCACTGGGACCACTGACAAGTCGGAGTTCGGGTCCGCGCTGTGACAATACAACATAATTATTTAAAGTCGTTCGAAGCATAATTTATTTTGATGTTCATTTTTAACATATCCGGATTTTTTGGATATCAATTTTAATATACATGAAATTTATACATATGAATGTTAACTACGCTGGAATTTTAACATGTCAACGTTAACATATCTAAAATGTAATATATCGGCGTTAACACACCCGAAATTTTAACATATCGATGTTAACAATTTTTTTACGGCATATGCCGTTAAAGAGCAGACGGATCACCTGATGGTAAGCAATCGGCGTCGCCCATTGACACCTGGAACACCAGAGGCGTTACAAGTGCGTTACCGGCCTTTTAGGGATTAGGAGTTTGAGGATTATTGGGGATTCAAGGATTTGGGAAGGGGAGAGGGTAATTGGGCCTCCGGTAAGCTCACTCACATGACAAAACACAACGCAAGCGTTGCTTCACGTCGGTTTCCTGCTCGGCCGTGGTATCACTCATCGAGGTCGAGCCGACCCATTCGTGCCGAAGCATGGCTCTCCCACACAAACAATTCGAAATTATATGTAAATCGATGTTAACAAACCAGAATCAACATATTGATGTTAACAAATCCGAATCTTTAAACTCATCAATGTTAACTAACCCGAAATTTTAACATATGGACATTAACAAACCCGGAATGTTTAGCATAATATTATAAAACTTACTTGACAAGATTTCCTTTAGCGCAGTTCTCTAGTAGCTGGTCGTAGATCTGCTTCTTGTTCGGCGGCAGGTCCTCAGGAGTCAGCACGTCCATTTTATTTAGAACCACTATTAAAGGCTTGTTGCTGAATAATGGCTTTATGCTCTCGAATAGAGAGATCTGGAATACAAGAGATACTTCTTTAGCTTCCGTTACATATTTTTATATTTGACGGGCCGACATTTGACCACTATCTCGCCTGGTGGTAAGCGATGATCCGGTCTACGATGGAGCACGTCGACCCATAAACAACCTATTCACTCGGGCCTTGAAGACACCCAGGTTATATACATTTCAGGAAATACAGACCCTAGCAATGAATTGCACTCTTGTCGAACTATTCAGTATAAAAAAATACGTCACACAATATTTGTAATCAATAAAACTTTCGACGATGTATTTAATAATTCAATATACCTATATCGTCGAAAGTATTTGTTTCTGTAAGAAAATAAAAAATACGTGTGTAATGATTTATAATTAACTCTACTAGACGAACATTATAATAAAAAAATGTCATCTACCGTTTTGGATATTGGAATGGATTTGGGGTTGGGGGATTTTGGGATTGGGGATTTGCAAAAATAAATATAATGGTAGAGACCTGTTCCTGTATGGAGTGTCCGCACTGCTCGGAGAGGTCGAGGAAGTACAGCACGGCGGCGCGGAGGTGCGCCAGCGCGGTGACGGCCTGCATCTCGATGACGTTGCGCTCCTCCAGCGGGTGGTCCAGGATGCCCGGCGTGTCGATCACCTGCCCATGACAGGATTTACAATTACTATCGTGACACATAAAGTTAATTAAAATCGCGGGTTACTCACGTGAATATACTGATAAAAGCTCTACTAGTTTCGTATCTCTCTCTCGTACATGTATCAGAGACATTGTAGAACATACTTTTTTAAAAAGAGTAATGAATGGAGATCCGAATCTCGGACAACAGACAACATTAAACACAAGTTTAGAACTAGGGTTGCCACCTTTTTTTTGGTACTTAAAGTACATTGGCAATTATAGGTAAGAAAAAAAAAGTACACCATACAAAAATAAAGTACAATTTTTTTTTGTATTATATTTAAAAATATATTTTCATTGCTTTTTTACAGTTTGTATTAAATTAGTATCTTAACTAAACAATTGCATCTTTACTAGAAATTGTCTAAGTGGCGCTGGCGAGTGGCGAAATCGATTCAACATAAATCGTAAAATATCGATATCGAACCGAAAAGTTTACCGAAAAATACTGACGACTTTTATAGAAATAAAGTTTGTAAAAATAAAGTATTTTCGTGTACTTTATTATTCTTATAAAGTATAGAGTACAATTACCTTAAATAACGTACAATACTTTATTATAAAGTACGGGTGGCAACCCTATTTAGAACTGACCTGCCATCTCAAATATTTGTAGTCAGTATGGCCGACGTACAAGCTCTTCGTGGTAAAGGCATATGGTTGCACTTCGACATCGGCGCGAGTGATCTGTTAACAGAAATATATAACATGTTAAATTACATTACACACATTTTGTGTTACCAAACCTAGTCTTCCCGCGGGTATCGTATACCCGACTAAATGTTAATGGCGACTGGGTGTAATACATTTTTTGTGACCAGCTCCGGTCTTCCCGCGTGTGTCATATACCCGACTACGGTAGAGTTCTCACACGGAGAAGGTTTGAGCGTTAATCACCACGCTTGCTCAATGCGGGTTGGCGATTTCAAATTTATAATTACAAATTATAAGCCCAGGTTTCCTCACGATGTTTTCCTTCATATTTGTCAATATAATCTTAGAAAATACTCGGAAAAGGTCACATTGGTACTTGCAAATTCAGTCAATTGGTAGGTTTTGAACCTGCACGCTCATGTATGAGAAGCGGGCGTCTTAACCTCCGGGCCACCACGACACTTATTGCTTACCATCAGGTGATCCATCTACTTAAACCTTTTTACAGACTTTAGCTGCGGATGATATCTCTTGTTACCGAGGCTCTGGCTCGACGTGCAGGAGTAGGAACGGGGTGGTTTTTTTTAATCAGTAAGAGTCTGACACTCTCTCTCGCCATATACCCAAGGCTGGAGAAGTCATTAGATGATGTTCCTCCCTCAAAAAATTGTACAACATAACATAATAACATCACGCCTTTTATCCCCGAAGGGATAGGGTAGAGGTGCACATTATACTACTGTGTAATGTAACACCCACTTTTCACCATTTATGTTACGAGTCCCATGTGATAGGGGTGGCCTATTGCCATATACCGGGCACAATTCTAGACTCCGTGCTACTACTGAGAATTTTTTTTAAAAACCCAGTAATACTTTACCCGAATTAGGAATCGAACCCGAGACCCCTTGTCCGGCAGTCGCACTTGCGACCACTCGGCCAACGAGGCAGTCAGGCGACCAGAAACATTGTATTACATACCTTATTGATAAAACTGGATTTGCCAACATTAGGGAACCCGCAGATGATGATTGTCCGTGTGTATGGATCGATTGAGGGAAGACGAGCCAAGTGTTGGCGGACCTGTATACAAATGTCAACTTTATTATAAGGTGCAAAATGAGCAAAATCCTACTATCCTACTAATAAAAATAAATATGTCGTGCCTGCCTCTAAGCTTCAGAAAATAAGTGGTTCGTTAGATATCAATGTATACGCTTTTAAAATAAGATTCCTAGCGATATTCCAAATCCACTGGATCAGTCAGCTTCACCTGTTAACTGAGCTGATTGTAAACCAACACATGCGTATTGCCGTCAGAACGGGTCCGCTCAAACTGTTGTGGTTCTGTCCTCAAAAGGCCACTACAGAATAAACTTGTACGGTTCTCACACATAATCTTTTATATACATATTGCCTGGACTTTAAAAGAGACGGACCTCTGAGTTTGTTCGGCATTTCTTCTCAGAGTAGTCAGTTAGGAAATGTCGGCCTCATCGTTCGCTTGATAAATTGACGTGTAAAAATGCTGCCTTGTAGTCTATTTACAGAAATAAATTCACTTGTTTTAGTATCCTTACTTATATTATAAATCGGAAAGTGAGTTTGTTTGTTTGGTCCGCTTTAACGCCGTAACTACTAAACCGATTGCTTTGAATTTTTGCAGACGTAAAGTAAGAAGTCCGGATTAAATAATAGGGTACTTTTATCCGGAAAAATTTAATATTTTTATTTTTATTTTATTTAAGTTCTATACAATTGCATAAGGAAGACTTAATGCTAACAGCATTCTCTGCCAGTCATCCTTTGGGTAGTGCAGATATTCCCAAGGGAAAACAAAAGTATTGGTATAGATGGCGCTGTAAGTATTGGTATATGTCACATAGGCTACTTTTTATCCTTTTGTGACGCGAGTGAAGCCGCGGGTACAAGCTAGTTAGGTATAAATGCAGAAGTTTATATATTTATTTGTTACTCAAACACATTAAACGGCTAGAGGGATCCAGATGAAATTTGGAACAGAGGTACGGACTAAGCTACAGTCTAGAATATTTAAGTCACGCTAATTATAGTTCTATCTCTACAAATTCTTTGTTAAACGACAGAGATGGCACGATATTTAAGTACAACTTTAAATTTAAACTGTCAAACACCGAGCGGTCACTGGTGACCGCAACCTATTGTTCTTTAATAGGGATGACGACAGGGTATGAAAATTAAAAATCTAATTAGTCCGTCAGTTAGGTAATGAAAAAATATTAGACACGTATTTTTTTATTTTGATGTATAAGAAAACAATACTTAGATAAATAGCATCAAAGTTTAGGAGTGGGAGCTAGCTACGTCACTTTTACGTATAAAACGTACCTAGAAGCGACGTCACGCAACATTTCAAATCAATATACCGTCGAAGTTATTCGTTTCTGTAAGAAAATAAAAAATACGTGTCTAATGTTTTAAAATAATCTACCAGACGGACATTGAAATAAAAATTAGTCGTCTATCCTATTGTGTCTACAATGACGGTACTCAACGAGTTAATAGTCTTTCAGTATTCGGGAGTTAGTCACCTGTTCCAAGTAAGTTAGGTTGGCGGCCTGTCGCTTCATGATGGTGGCCATGCGCCCGAGCGCCGCCCGCTTCAGCTGCTTGCATCGATACAGCGAGTCTCCGTACTTTAGTAAACGCACGTAATCTTTCGCTACACTGTAAATAAAACATACATATTTAAGTCAAAGCCAAAATTATTAATTTCAATTAGAATTACACCAAGAAGGCAGGTTTTTTTTTATATCAGATGGGCCAATGCTTGACCACTATCTCGCCAAATTGTAAGCGATGATGGGGCCTACGTCGGAGCACGTCTGTACCTAACGGGTAACCGGGGCTCCGGCTCGACGTGCAGGAGAAGGAATGGGGTGGTTTTTAGTCAGTAAGAGTCTGACACTCCCTTCCGCCTCACCCAGGCGGGAGCAGTCATTCGATGATTTTCCCCTCTTAAAAAAAATTTACTCGGGCCTTGAAGACACCCAGGTTATACCCTTCAGGAAACACAGACTTTGGCAAAGAATTTTACTCCTTAGCATTTTTCTATCTGTCCTATAGTGAAGTTAGCATGTTCGATATTAAAGTCAAAATCTGATCATTTATTTTAATTAAACTAAACGATTTCTTTTATGGGACAGGAAGTCAAACGAGTTGACGGACCACCTGATGTTAAGCAATCAACACTGCCTATTGGAAACCTGCAACACTGAAGAAATTACTAGTGTGTTGCCAACATTTTGAGAGCATTATTTATTATTTTTTCTTTGATTGAGGAGGGAATATCGTCCAATGAGTTCCCCCTTGGGTTAGGCGAGAGAGTGTCAGACTCTTACTGACTAAGCAACTATTCCTACTCTTCAAACTAGAGCCCCAGCAACCCGATAGGCCTTCAGTGGCTCTGTGTAATCTTTTGAGGACTTGAACACTTGACAATAACTGGTAAACAAGCATATAGATCACTTGATGGTAGGGCAATCGGCATCGCTCATTGACACTCTAAACACCAGAGGTGTAACAAATGTGTTACCGGCCTTTTGGGGGTTAGGAATGCTTCGTGCTTGGCTCTCCCACTTATAGTTATAGTTAAGTTAAGGATATATTATGATTAGTATAATTACTGCTTGACGTCGCTATATACTGTGGATTCCACCACAATAAAACAAAATTACAGTCCCCAGGTTAAACTTTAAGATGTCCCGTTTGACATTGAAATGAGAAAACCGAATATAAATATTTTATAAAACTTACGTGTCAATTAAATGTCTAGCGGTGTTCAGTTGTCCGAGACCAAGCTTGTAATGATCTTTGTCATACAGTACATTCATAAGATCTGCATAGAATGGATGTACATCATCTAACTTGGGGAATTCCTGTAAAGAGATTCATTTATAAATTATTTTTTTTAAACATTGAATTTATATATAATAAATATCTATTTCTACAAACACAAAAATCCTATCATAATATTATTATTTTTTATTAGTTATGTTATGAGTCCCACATAATGGGGATACACCTAAAATCGTACTTGTAAATGAGTAAGCAGAGAATATCATGACTCAAGTACACATCAGTTTGCATGTAATTGTGACATAAACCTTTGTTTTACACAAACTCTAGTGTTACAAAAATATATTGCGCAATTAATGAAAACACACTGAAAACCAATTAATGAAATACACTAAACATCACTAAAATAAGGTCTGCACTAAAAATATACGTATTATTGATTATTTTAGTATTCGTATGGAATATAATGATTGATTATTTACCTGAATAATCCTAGACAGACGATCGTGGAAATTCTGTTGAGTAAATTTCACTTTTCGCATATAAAATCCGCGTATTCTGCTAATTTTGTAGTGTTTGTGCACTACTGTGGGTGTTTTCCTCTGTGTTTTACTAAGAATAATATCTATGAAGTCCTGAAATACAAAATTGAGCGTAAATGTAAGGTTATAAACACATGATTACAAATATTTCGTAAAAAGTAAACATTTACTAAAATGATAATAAATTTGATTACTTACTTTTGCTGTAGGCACTACAGCGATCTTTTTAAAGTTGTACAAACTCATTTTGATTTATTTTATTACACTTATAAATAAAATATAGCTCCACATGAGCTCAACACGTAAACACGTGTTTTTAAAAGAAAAAGTGAACGAGTGAAATTAAACTTGTCAATGTCAAACTAAACCTTTTTTAATACACAAAACGTTTTGTTGACTGTAAAGCGCAATAAAATAGAAAAGTGACTTCTCTTTTCCGTGTGTAAACATATAATAATAATAAAAAATGTAGTAATAAAAAAAAATATTTAATAATATGATTTCAAATATTTTTAAACAAGAAAACGAACAAGAAATATTTTATAAAATTGCAGTTTCATTGACGGTCTTCAATGGTATTTTGTTTCTGAGCATAGCACATAACGCAATCAATAATCATAGTTGCCATACAGAATATTGTGAATTGGATTCGTTGCGTGAAGGTGTAATTAAAAGCATTTGGTTCTTAAATATTATATTCACTCATAAAATTGTATTGCAAAAGAAATTGCCGTAAATCAGATCATTGATTTTTCTCCTTTCATACATTATTTTACACACTATACAAAATTTTACAAGTAACAAATATTAAAACATATTGATATGGTAACACAGGACTGTGAAACGTCAAAGTTCCGATAGCAAATGGCTAAGCGAGGTTATGCTGAATTTGTATTGTAATTTATTAGAAAATAATGCCGCTTACTCTGTTAGAAGTTTTATAGTAACAAGAAAATACTGAATACAATAATATTATATGCACCAAAATATACAAGCCTGCGAAATTACTTGATTTATTGTAAGTAAAATATTGCATCATTTTTCATTTGTTTTTGTCATTCTTTCGAAAAAATCTTTACATAATATCAGTGACTTGTATTCGGAACAACTTTTATTTTATTCTTACGATTATTCCGGCGGTTGAACTTGTTGTTTAATTCTTGAAAACATAAATAAATATTAAATCTAACCTCACGCATTTAACATCAAAAATATTCAATCTATTCCCCTGTTAATTATTTAACCCTTACTCAAAATACAGCACCGTATTAATTTTTAAATGTTAAATATATAAATAGTGAGTGGTGTATGTATATTGCAGGATAATATTGGAAGAATTAAATTGACACAAAGATGTACGGAAGGCTTTGCAACCTGCGGACGGGCGTCAACCATCGCCTGGTGCAATGCAGCAACATGTACAGCAGTGGCATTCTCAAAAAAGATACTGCCCTTCGAGCATTACAGCCTGGTAAAACGATGCATGGTTTCATCGTCAACGAAGTGCAACCAATCAAAGAATACAATATGACAGCATATTTCCTAGTCCACGAAAAGACAAAGACAGAGTACCTGCATTTAGAAAGGGACGATCCCAACAATGTTTTCTCTGTTGGGTTTCGAACCACTCCACTAGATTCCATGGGCACTCCACATATACTTGAACACACAGTTCTCTGTGGCTCGGAGAAGTATCCAGTCAGAGATCCATTCTTCAAAATGCTGAATAGATCACTGGCTACATTCATGAATGCGTTAACTGGCCCAGACTACACATTCTACCCATTCTCATCACAAAATGAGGTTGATTACCAGAATCTACAGAAAGTATACCTTGATGCAGTTTTCAAACCTAACATATCTAGGCTAGACTTTTTACAAGAAGGGTGGAGGTTAGAACACACAAACATAGAAGATAAAGAGTCAGACTTAACTTTCAAAGGTGTTGTGTACAATGAGATGAAAGGTGCTTTCTCAGAAACAAGTTCTTTATTCGGACAAAAATTCATTAACAGTATACTGCCAAGAGGGACATATGGCTACGTCTCAGGCGGTGATCCATTATGCATTCCAAAACTTACACATGAGCATTTAAAGAATTTCCACTCTACATATTACCACCCAAGTAATGCAAGAATTTATTCATATGGCAACTTTCCTTTAGAAGATAATTTGAAGTTCGTCAATGAAGCTTACTTAGCCCAGTATGCATATTTGGACCCAAATCATACAATAGTAGAGAAACAACCGCGTTGGAAAGAGCCAAAAAGAAGTGAAATAGCTTGCCGATTTGACCAATATGGTGTCCCAATAGAAAAACAAAACCAAATTGCAATAGGCTATGTGATGTCTGATATCACTAGCATTTACGAGACCTTCATGATGATGGCCATGACTGAACTTATGATTATTGGACCAAATTCAGCATTCTACAAAAGTTTGATTGAGAAAAATATCTCGGGAGGGTATAACTCCCTCACAGGATATGATAATCAAATTAGGGATACACTATTTGTGGTTGGACTACGAGATGTTGAGAAATCAAAGTTTGAGATGGTAGAATCGATTGTCAACCAAACTCTACAAGATATTTATGTGAAAGGCTTTGAAAAGGATCACATTCAGAGTGTCCTACATGGATTTGAATTGTCTGTCAAGCACCAGTCACCAAAATTCGGGCTTAATTTACTCTTCAACCTTATGCCACTATGGATCCATAATGGTCCAATCATCAATGCTTTGAAGGTCAATCAGCTCTTAGATCAGCTCAAGACTAACCTGATGGAACCCAAGTATGTGAAGGAAATCATTGAGAAGTACTTCATTAACAACAAACACAAACTAACTATGACAATGGTACCGGATCCCAAATTCGATGACACATTCAATATAGCTGAAGCCACACTATTAAAAGAAAAAGTAAAAGCCCTGTCTCAACAAGACAGAGATAATATATACAAGGAAGGCTTAGAGCTCTCTACTGCCCAGAAGAAAGTACAAAATCTAGATATTCTCCCATGTCTGAAACTTGAAGATATTGTTCTTACTAAAACTGCACCTCCCCTGCAACATTCAGTCGCTGCAACCATTCCCCTACAGATGTGCATGGCCAATACTAATGGTGTCACTTACTTCAAGGGAATCGTAGGAACAGATTGCTTGAATGATGAAGAAAGGCAACTACTACCATTCTTCGAATACATAGTCAACAAGTTTGACACGAAAAATTACAACTACAGGGACTTTGACAAGTTCATAAGTAAATCCACATCTGGTTTGGGCTTCCTAAGTCACATTACAGAACACATAGATCAATCAGGACAATATGAACAAGGTATCTTGATCAGCAGTCACTGCTTAGACGAAAATCTTCCAAAAATGATGGATATTTGGAAAGAGATCTTTAACAAACCGAATTTCAGTAACAGTGAACGAATGAAAATGCTTCTAACAAACTACTGCTCAGCGTTAAGCAATGGCATAGTAGACAGCGGACACACGTACGCCATGCAAGCCGCGCGGTCACTGGTCACCTCAGTGGACGAGTGCAAAGAGAATCTAATGGGCCTCCAACACATAATGAACATGCAAGAGATATTAAAGAACAAAAATATTGAAGATATCCAATCCGTAGTCGACAAGATTGGCAGCAAAGTTTTGAAAGGAAACAACTTGAGGGCGGCTTTCCATTATTGTAATACCAACCAGGATGTTCAGGCAAATGTTGAGGAATTCTGCAAAGAGCTGTGCGATAATGTAGACAATAAAGAAATGAACAGGATTAACTGGACGGACGCTAAGAAGATGCCGGAGGACAACCGCGGTGTGCACATACAAATGAACATTCCTGTGAACTTCTGCGCTAAAGTCATTCCCACGATACCGTACACTGACCCAGACTACGCCAAACTACGAGTGTTGTCGAGATTCCTTACATCGAAATATTTGCACCCCGTCGTAAGAGAGCAAAATGGAGCATACGGTGGCGGCGCGATGTTAACTCTAGATGGAGTCTTCAACTTCTATTCGTACAGAGATCCTAATTCAACAGTCACTCTAAACGTATTCGATGAGACGACTCATTGGATGTCCAAAAATACAGGTCTTGTAGACGATCAGAATCTTTTTGAAGCCAAATTATCAATATTGCAGCAAATGGACCAGCCTATTGCAGAATACATGAAGGGCATCGATCTATTCCTGTACGGATTGTCCTACGACATTTGGAAGACGCAGAGAGAAAGAGTATTAGCTGTGAAAAAAGAAGATTTAATTGAAGTGTGTCAGAAGTACTTGGTCAGGGATAAGTGGAGCGGCAAATGTGTTATCGGTGAAGGTTCGAAAGACCTTAAAGTGGATAACGAAGAATGGGAAATCATTAATGGCCCACAGCAATAGTTTTGAAGCATTTTTGGAAATCAAGTGACTAATGTAGTAAGACTATGTATCTCTAGTAGAGAATTCATGTGTTGAAAGAGATTTTTTGTCCAATCACTGCAGCTGTCAAATATTGAACGTCCAATGGCGTGACACTTGCTAATTCTCCATTGGATGAAGAACAAGAGGTTTACAGCAGAACAAAAATTCATGAGCCCCCAAGGTTTACAGCAGAACAAAAATTCATGAGCCCCCATTAATTAAGTGCATTGCGCACCTGTATAAATGGTTTGAAGTTACTGTAGTGTACTTGTAAAATGTGTAACATTTGGACATATTGTTAATTCGATACGCGGCCATTTGTTTATTTATTACTGAGTGTAATGTCGCGACTGTTGTTATATAATAAATATTATTTTTAATTGTATTGTTTGATTTTTTACTGTATTTTCTGGTAATGAGGCAAAACATATTAGATAATAGGTTGGTCCTACATTGGTTACGTAAGGACATTATGGAACATATTACATGTTGGTCCATTCATGTTCCATAGTCCAGTTAGTTCAGTACCTATAGTTTTTGTTATTTATCGAAAAAATCCTTAAGCATCATACGTATGAATTAAAAAATTAATAAACAGGGTAAGCTACCTAAAACCGTTTAATAATTGCTTACTCACGTGATCTGTTGGATAATATCTCAGTTGGCTGCGGGATGTCGCGCCGCGCACGCTTCTCATTAACCCTTTAAAACGGGACTCTTTCCCGTTGTTACTTGTAGTAGTAGTAGTAGAAATTTGCTTCAAGCTTTTTTGTGCGTGCTAAGGAGTGGAATTCTTTGCCAGAGTCTGTTTCCTGTAGGGCATGGGTGTCTTCAAGACCCGAGTGAATAGGTTGCTTATTGTAAGGATCGATCTCAAAAGTAAAACGCCGTATTATCAAAATCACGCTTTATTAACTTTGACTATACTTCTATATTACAATGTCGACACAAGTATGCCTCCACTCTTCGACCGCTGCCGCTCTAATGAATCCTCGATCCACGTCGTCGTGCCACCCCCACCATGCGTCCTTACGGCGAGGACGCCACTGCGGCTCAAATAACAACCGTACTCATGACTTATTTCCTTTTACAAACTGTAGTTATTATAGCTAAATTACAAAATATTAACGGTTTGCTCTATAATAATAGTTGATACAATATCCGATAATTAATAAACTACTATTAGCATGTTACAAAGTACAGAAAACATATGATATCTAATTAATAAGCTAACATTATGGACAGACATGCTCCATCGTAGGCCGCATCATCGCTTACCACTAGGCGAGATAGTGGCCAAACGTCAAATTTAAAAACAAAGATATTAAGAATAGCAACGCGGCAGCCTCCGCCGTGTCGCGGAATGCTGCTCATGAATATGAGCCTCTAGTATGACTTGAAACTATTCGAGTTCCTCGGCAAACAGTTACGTGAGACTCAGTAGGTAAGCTGAGGGCTTAGTATGAGTTTCTTTTTCGGTTAACTCGTCGAGTACCGGTTTTATAGACACAATTAAAGAACAATAGGTCGCGGTCACCGGTGACCGTTTGGTGTTTGACAGTTTAAAGTAATCGAAACGAGACTGCGTTCGGTGTTCCGATTGGTTTGTTCATTGGAGCCGGCCAATCACAGCGCCGAACGCGTATTCGTTACGATTACTTTGAACGAAAAAGAAACTCGTACTAAGGCCTCTGAAATACAATAAATAATTTGGTACTTAGATAAGTCTCACGAAAGTTGTAATACAAATATAACGGAGCTTCTTTCAAATTGTAATTTTTAACTAGCTGACCCGGCAATTTTCTTTCTCACCTTTTGGTTTAAAAGGTTTTCCTGGACTTCACGAATATTTTAAGCCAAAATTAGACAAATCGGTTCAGCCGTTCTTGAATTTCAGCGAGACTAACGAACAGAACTTCATATTTATTTATATTTGTTTTTCTATGCCTTGTTTATAGGTAATAATGTCGCTACCACCGCACTTCGAGACCCCTGAAGAATACTTCAAAGAATGCCTTCAGTTCTTTCAAGAATATCAATATTTGTTCAGCGAACCTAACACTGATGTACTCATACACAGGATTTTAGAAAAAATCACAATAAAAGACGAAAATATGCGAGTATTTGACGAAAATTTTGACGTTACTGCTGTAGATGACGAATATTTGACCAATTTTTTCGTCAAATTGAAAATTTTACAAGTTTTTCATGAAGATGTTGAAGATAATTTGGATGAGTGTGTAAATATTGCAGTTAGTCGTAAGAAAAAACATGAAATAATATATCTGGCGAAGGAAATCAAAGAAATGTGTGAACAGGTCGACTGTGATACTGTAGTCGACTTTGGTTCCGGCTTGGTGAGCATTTTTCATCACATACTTTTACGTTATATTCTTCATAATGATTAAAGACTGCACACTGCACGATTGGACCAGTGGCTGGGCAACCGACTACGGGACAAAGTTTTGCGGGTTTGATTCAAACTCAAACTCTTTATTTGCATGTTAAAGTAATACATACAGGTCTTATGAAATAACAGGCACAGCTTAACGGCCTTTTTCAGGCGTTGCACATTTTAGGGTTGTCACTAGCTTATTATACATTACATTTTGGTTACCTAACATTTTTTAACATATTTATTTATTTGTTCGGAATAAAGGTAACTACTTAGGTTTAATGATTGTTTATTTTACTCATAAAATATAGTAGTGTATAATTCCCGCATTATTTTACCACAAATTATTGTTCCGAGTCTATGTATGCTGTGTAGGTTAGGCTCGCTGCCATTGCAGCGGTAAGACCCCTCTTTGAGGAGTGGCTTGAGAGACGCTACGGCGTCCTCACCTACCGCCTAACGCAGTGTCCTCACCGGACATGGAAGTTTCGGGAGGTACCTGTGTCTGATGGGGCGGGAGGAAACGCCCGGGTGTCATCACTGCGAGGACCGCCCTGAGGACACGGTGGAACACACCGTAGCGGAATGCCCTGCGTGGGCTAAGCACCGCCGTGCTCTCAGGGAAGTGATCGGCGATGGCGACCTCTCGCGTCCGGGCCTTGTGCAGGCCATGATGCGGAGCGAGGGGGACTGGGATGCCGTCTCCTCCTTTTGCGAAGCAGTCATGCTAGCTAAGGAGGAGGCGGGACGCGTGAAGCAGCGAAGCGCTGCCTCCTCGGAACCCAGCCATCGGGAAGGACACACCGGGCGTCAGGGATCGTGGGACGATCTCCGGCCACCGTAAGCGCGGGCCTGCGGACGGCGAGCATGGGTGGCTCCCGGTCCGACCAGAAAGAGACCCGAGCGTACGGCGCGTCGCGTTCCGCGCGCGCCTCAAAGAGCCATCAGACCACCACAGATGGGGCCCAATAGGGCCGATGCCGATTCGGAGTCGCGGAGAACCTAACGAGTAACCGGGGCTCCGGCTCGACGTGCAGGAGAAGGAACGGGGTGGTTTTTAGTCAGTAAGAGTCTGACACTCCCTTCCGCCTCACCCAGGCGGGAGCAGTCATTCGATGATTTTCCGCCCTTAAAAAAAAAAAATGCTGTGTAGGTAGGTATCTAGTAGGTATGTGAATTCGTATGTTTGTAAGCGCACTCACGACACGGGAAAACCTTCATGTGAGGCAAAGTATGAAAAAACTTAAGTTTACTAAATTATAAGTTACGTATGTGTTATTTGTGTTAATACTTCTTTGTCTAGTTTTTGACCTCACGTATAAAATTGTATCTACGTAGCTTTGTGTCTACCTACCTATTTTCAGGTACTGTGATTATGCCAAATGCTTGCAAGATTAACTAAAGCATACCTTTTAATTTTTTCAGGGTTATCTAGATCAATTGTTATTTGAAAAAACTAATTACAGAATATTAGGAATCGAATGTAATGAGAGCCATTACGTTGGCGCGAAAGTTAGGCAGCGGAAGTACCATCCAAACTCCACAGATTATGTAAAATACATAAAACATACTGTGAAAGAAAATTCAGATGAAAATATTCGAAGATTTGTTCAAGAAAAATTTGAAGATCATAGACAATTTTGTATAACTGGCCTTCATGCTTGTGCTGATTTGACTATAGACGCAATCAATTTATTTTTAAAGATGGATGAGGCTAAAGCGATTGTTATAATGCCATGTTGTTATCATAAAATGGCGGAAAATTGTAATTCATTCAAGAATTTCCCTATCAGTATCTGCCTCAAAGATATTTTCAGAAAATATAATGGATCAGAATATTTGAAAGTGCCTTTCCTAAGAGTAGCTGCTCAACCACCTTCCGTAGACGAAACATTAGAAGATTTAGTTTTCAATCTATTATCCAGAGCTGTGTTGCAAAAATATGCATTTGAACGTAAGTTAAACCAACCAGATGGTTTCAACTAGGGTTTTAACCAAGTGGCCAAGATTTCACATTTTTAGCAGGGTTACTTAATGCACTTACTAATAGTATTTTTCATGCTTTTTACAGGAAACTGCAAATTAAAAAGGAAAAAGAGAAAGGCTGTCAAAACTAAGAACATGAACAAACATTTCGAAACATATCTGCAAGATGCTGTTACAAATGGATTTGATTTGATCATAAAAGAATCTTCAGACGACTGCGTTAAAGTTGAAAATCGAACGTTTAGTGTTGAAGAAATTATGACATTATGGAATTCAATGACAGAAATGACATTTAAAAAGGCGGGAATATTTATTTTATTACAAAATTATTTGCAACCGGTAATTGAGAACTTTGTGCTCTACGACAGATTGGTTTATTTAAAAGAAAAGGGCGTAAAACATTGTGAATTCAAAAAGATATTGAATGTAAATACATCGCCGCGTTGTTTAGCCTTATTAGCGTATAAGTAAATAAGTGAAATATCGAAACTGGTGTTTTATTTCAATGGTTTTCCGTGAATCTGCTGCGTGGGTCTACCAACAACGGAGCTAATATCATCACTTCACTTTAATCTAGGTAACCTAGGCCAAATTCGTA